TATAAAAAAATTATTAAACTGATTTGACGCCTCTTTGGTATTTTCTTCAATATTTAAAATATGGTTGTTTATATTTATAGAATCAATTGAATCTTTATTTTTAGAAGTTCTACCTGTTAAATCGTTAACCAATTTCCAAGTTAATTTTGGGTTTGAAGCTACACTACTGAATTTTTTTTCATAAAAATTTATTTTCGCAAGCTTGAATAGTTTCGTAAAATTATTTTTGTATTTTTTAAAATAGGATGCTAGTTTGACGTTATTTGGATTTTTTTTACATTTTAGTGATAGGTAGTGTTTATGACGAGCTGAACATAACAGACCTTTGGACATCCATTCTTTTAATCTTTTATTTTTAGAATTAACATATTTAGACGTCGTGGAGTTATTTATGGCATTTGTTATTGTATTTTGAAAGGCAGACAGTCTATTATTTACTGAGTTTGAGTTATATACACTTATCCATTTCTCTTTGCATAAAATATAATTAAGTTTGTCATAGTTTATAATTTTAATAGAATTTTCTACAATTTTAGTACTTACTGATACGGGTATAGAAACCATAATAGAACAGTGATCCGTGATTTCAGTTAGCAAAACACCTGCTTTTATATTTTTAATTGGAAAGTTATTGTTATGTTTAATGAATATATGGTCTAGACATGAGTGTTGTTGATGTTGCGGTAATCTAGTATATACAGTGTGTTCAACGATAAAGGTAACACGAATTATTTCGATCGCATGGCCTTGTATTCCATTCAGGTTTTTTTTTTTTTTTTTTTTTTTTTTAATGCATAAAGTACATAAATTTACATTTATTTTTAGTAATTTAAAAAATGTTCGGCGTCGGGAAAGTGGCGTCCCCATCGCCCAGTGCCCTTAATTGGGTGCTGCAATAGCCTCACTCTGGTCTTAGGTGATCGGAGTGGTCTGGCCCTCCAGGTTGGGGGTTGATCAGTAGGCCAACAACCCACTATCGTAAAAAACCTTTGTTCAGGAATCCAACTTTTTGCCTCGGGACAGAGTAACGGAATTAAGACTGGAAAACTGGAAATCGGCTCTACGTTTTGGAACATGGAATATACGGACTTTATATCAACCAGGAGCAGCCTTAACATTAGTTAAGGAATTTAATAAATATAGGTTAGAGATTTTAGCTATACAAGAAATAAGGTGGAGCGGACAAGGCTCTACAGAAATAGGGAACTCGATAATTTTCTTCGGTCAATGTGACAATCGCAGACAAGGAGGCACCGGCTTTATCGTTAAAAAGAATATAGCATCTGCAATTAAAGATTTCAAAGTAGTGAACTGCAGACTGACTATCCTCATAGTGGAGGGAAAATTCTTCAACCTTGCATTTGTCAATGTACACGCACCATCTGAAGATAAAAGCGATGAAGAAAAGGAGGAATTTTACACTTTGTTGGAATCTACTTTAGAGGGAATACCCAGAGATTGCATTATAATCTTATTAGGAGATTTTAATGCAAAGATTGGTAAAGAAGAGTGCGTTAAAACAACTACCGGGTCGAATAGTTTACATCAGCTATCAAATAACAACGGATTCAGACTAATCGAATTAGCTACAGGAAGGGGCTTAAAAATAAAAAGCACGTCATTTCCACATAAGGAAATACATAAAGGTACCTGGAGGTCCCCAGATGGCAGATACATTAACCAAATTGATCATGTATTGGTGAATGCGAGATTCAGCAATAGTGTACTAGATGTAAGGACCTTCCGCGGTGCGGAATGTGGATCTGATCACTTCCTAGTGGTAGGGAAACTTAAAGTGAAACTGAAGAAAGCAAAAAAGAGAAAAGAAGAACAAACAGAACTCTTTGATATACAAAAACTATGTGACCTTAAAATTGGTGAAGATTTCTGTAAGAATATATCAAACGAGCTTAATAATGAACATATAGATAACGGGAATGATGATATCGAAAGCTTATGGTCTGCTATAAAAAATGTGATCCGCGAAGCGAAAAAAAAAACAGTTGGGAAACGACGATTTATGAGGAATCCGTGGTTTAACCAGATATGCGAAAATGCCCTACAACGTAGGAAGCAAGCGAGGGAAGTTTGGTTAAAGGATATTAAAAATGAAGAAAAATTCTCTAGATATAAAACAAGACTAAAAGAAGCAACCAAAATTATAAGATGCGAGAAACGAAAATTTATCAACGACATAGTGAAAAGTGCGGACCAGGACTATAAAAACCATAGGACACGGGACCTATACAAAAAGATCAGCTCTGTAAGCAAGGATTTTAAACCAAAAGAAATGTTTTTAAGAAACGAAAATGATACTTTGTTAACGGATAGAGACGACATAGTTGAGGAATGGGCTCAATACTTCGACCAGCTGCTAAACTGTAGAGAACCTTCTAATCCATTCCTCTTTGAGAATAAAAAACCGAATAGGGAAGAGTATCCTGAACCTACGATAGAGGAAATTGCGAAACAAATAAAAACCCTAAAAAACCACAAGGCGCCCGGTGAAGACGGGATTACCGGAGAGCTACTTAAAAAAGGTGCGGAGAATCTTGTTAAATATATTCATCGTTTAATTAGTTTAATATGGCAAAAAGAAGAGATACCAAAGGAATGGAAAACAGCCTTAGTCTATCCCATCCATAAGAAAGGAGACAAACAAACATGCAATAATTATAGAGGGATTGCCCTGCTTAATGTAACGTATAAGATTTTATCTTACTGTATACTTGATAGAATCAAACCTTGGGCAGAAGAGATTATAGGGGACTACCAGGCCGGCTTCAGGCAAAACCGCTCCACGATAGATCAAATCTTCATTCTACGTCAGGTGTTACAAAAAACTTGGGAGTATGACAAAAGCGTACATATTGTTTTCATTGATTACAAAAAAGCATATGATTCAATACATAGAACGTCCATAATCAAGATTTTAGAAGAGTTTGGAATGCCTAGTAAGTTAATAAGCCTCGTCGAGTGCAGTATTAGTCACACTAACATAAAGGTAAAAGTAGGACAAACGTTATCGAAAACGGTTCAAGTGACAACTGGACTAAGGCAGGGTGACGCCATATCACCGGTTTTATTCAACATAGTATTAGAAAAAGTAGTTAGAGAAGCAGCCTTAGATAAGGAAGGAGTAAAACTAGGAGAAAACAACATTGGAATATTGGCATATGCAGACGATATAGTCTTGATGGCAGAAAGCAAAGATAAACTCAAAGAACAATCAAAACAACTCATAAATGCTGCTAAACGTGTAGGCCTAGAGATTAACGCAGAGAAAACTGAGTATATGGTCGTGCAAAGACATGAACAAAAAGGCTGTCGTAACGAGGTCCTGGAAGTCGAAAACTACAAATTCAAAAGAGTGCAGCAGTTCAAATACCTTGGCACACTAATTACACAGCAGAATGAAATAGGTACGGAAATAAAAGCAAGATTACAAGCTGCCAATAAATGTTATTTTGGCCTGACTAAGTTATTAAAATCTAGAGTAATCTCGAAAAATCTGAAGTCCCAAATATACCAGACACTTATCAAGCCAGTGGTGACATATGGGTCAGAAACTTGGACCATGAGGAAAAACGACGAAAATGCTCTTTTAGTGTTTGAAAGAAAGGTACTGAGAAAAATCTATGGACCATGTAAAGACGAACATACAGGTGAATGGAGAATACGTAAAAACAAGGAACTTCAGGATTTGTATCAAAGACCAAGCATTAAAGAAGATATCACCAAAAGAAGACTGAAGTGGGCAGGACATTCTTGGAGAAAAACAGGGTCATTGATAAAAATAGTACAAGAGAATGCACCAAAAGGAAAACGACCACTTGAAAGGCCGAGGTTACGCTGGGAAGATAGGATCAAAGAAGACATAGAGAAAGTGAGACCAGGATTGGATTGGAAGGAGTTAGCTTTAGATAGAGAAACTTGGAGACAAATCTGTTGGACGACATGGTCTTGAAGGCCGAAGTCATGGAAGAAGAAGAAGAATTTAAAAAATGTTTAAAAAAAAATTCTGCGCATGCGCAACAAAATAATTTTTTTTTAAATGGCACTCCCCATTTTTTAGTTCAAATTTGATTTAAGGGCATTTTTTTAAGCAACTTTGATCCCTAAAGTCTCGCTCTGTCTTCAAAAATTGACTAATTAAGAATAAGTTAAAGTTTCTATTAATAAAACTTGTATTTATCGTATTTTTCAATATTTTACTTATGGTTTTACAAATAAATTTGTGTTTTCATAAGATTTTTTTTAAATCAAGAGTACTGTTGTATCATGCATAAATGCATTATAACTATAACTATATTAACTAGGTTAAGTAAACATTAAACAATCATTTGCAATAGGTAAAATACATGTAGGTAATATGATGAAATATATGTAGTATAATACAAATTAACAATCAGTAAAATTTTAAGCATAGTCAGTAAGTATAATGTAACTAGGTTAGATTTAATATACATACTATCGTAAGTGATTTTGTAAGAAAGGATGATAAAAAGGACGGAAGGAGTCGTTCAGGGGGAGTCGCCTGAAAACGAGCGTTCTCGTCGTTCGTCCGGGCACTTTGTGTGTATGTCGATTGCTACGAGAAGTCGAAGTGGTAATAAAAGTGCTTATATTAATTAATGTTTTTGTTTTTTTGGTGTACGTCCTTAATTGTCGTATACGACAGTACTGTCATAAGTAAAAGTAATTTACATTATTTCTACCGAATTTTTAACTTAAATTTGTCATAAATAGTAGAATTTTGGTTAATTAACTAAACAAATTAACACATATTCATTCATTTTAATTCAGTTTTAAAACAAAATTATGATTTTGATAAAGAATTAAATTATCTAAGTTCAGCCTTTAAGCATCGTATTAATAACAAATTATATTGGTTTGACATTTCTACGAAAATAATCTTGTCTTTTATTGATTTTTATTGAATGCCTTAGATTAATATTAGATTAATATAGATTAATATTAATCCTCGTTCTTCCGTGTGACATTTGGCGAGTGAACTTAATGTATCCGTGGGAAAAATTCATTCAATTTTGAAAAAAAATAAGTATCATCCATATCGGCCAAACTTAGTTCAACATTTGGTACCTGGTGATTCAGAGAGAAGACTTACGTTTGTTGCATGGTTATTGGTACAAACTCAAGAGGAACAAAGATTTTTGGACTACATTTTTTGGATTGACGCATCCAAATTTACTAATAACGGTATTATTAACAAACAAAATAATCGATATTGGTCTGATAGTAATACATTTTGGACAAATGATACTCATTTTCAACACGTATGGGGAACAAATGTTTGGTGTGGACTTGTAGGTGGCAAATTACTTGGTCCTTATTTTTACGATGGTACGTTGACTGGTATTAGATACCTCGACTTCTTGTCAAACCAGTTATCCATTTTTATGGAAGATATTCCATTAAACATTCGCGCACATTTATTTTTTCAACAAGATGGAGCACCCGCGCATAACGCATTAATTGTACACAAATATTTAGAACAAGCTATCAATCATAGATGGGTACTCGTGGGCCAGTAGAATGGCCGCCAAGATCACCAAATTTAACACCTTTGGATTTTTTTTTGTGGGGACATCTGAAGATGGTTGTCTATTCTAATCCACCAAATGATCTTCAAGATTTGAAGAATAAAATAATTGTTGCAACAGAGGAAATAAATTAATTTTTAACAGAGGAACAAATACTTTCTTTTCTGCGACACACAAAGAAGTACTGCGACGGTGTGAAGTATGCGTTGCACATAATGGTAATAATTTTGAGCAATTTTTACTATAAATTTTAAAATATAATCAATACTAACGTGTACCTACATAATTTAATTTTTAAATAAAATCAAAATTTTAATTTAAAACTGAATTAAAATTATTGAATATGTGTTAATGTGTTTAATTAATTAATCAAAATTCTACTATTTACGACAAATTTAAGTTGAAAATTTGGTAGAAATAATGTAAATTACTTTTACTTATGACAGTGCACTTGATTTAAAAAAATCTTATGAAAACACAAATTTATTTGTAAAACCATAAGTAAAATATTGAAAAATACGATAAATACAAGTTTTATTAATCGAAACTTAAACTTATTCTTAGTTAGTCGATTTTGAAAATAGAGCGAGACTTTAGGGATCAAAGTTGCTTAAAAAAATGCACTTAAATCAAATATGAACTAAAAAATGGGGGTGCCATTTAAAAAAAAAATTATTTTGTTGCGCATGCGCAGAATTTTTTTTTTAAAAATTAAGATTTACTAAAAATAAATGTAAATTTATGTACTTTATGCATTAAAAAAAAACCTGAATGGAATACAAGGCCATGCGATCGAAATAATTCGTGTTACCTTTATCGTTGAACACACTGTATTTATGAGAGCAACGGGGGGGGGGGGGAGTAGGGCCCTTGCCCAGGGCCTCGCGCTTCGATTTTTAAGATATTATTTTAGGAATACCTAGACGCTATTCTTATAAAAGGGCCTCGCAAAAGCTAGCACCACCCCTTCCGGTGAATGTCTACATTTACAACATTTACCAATTTTTAGGTAAATTATGTCATTTACCGGGGAATGTCATCTTTTACCCAGTGGCGCATTTAAAGGGGGCGAAAGGGGCAAATGACGCGGGCGGCAAATTTTTAAGAGCGGCAAAATATTCTAACTTTTATTATTGATGTGTTCATGATTTTTTTAATTTTCACATCTTTTTCGGTATTGTTTAATATTTTAAAAAATATTTTGTGGAGCATCTAATAAGAAATTAAAAAAATTATACTATACCTAGTCATCTAGATAATAGTGAAATAGCAAAATAGGTATATTACATTTATTATTCGATAAGATATTATATTGTCGTTCAATATTTATAATAAAGACTCGGGTACACAGAACGCGATATTCACTTTAGGGCACATTTAAAAAGTTTACAAAAGGAGTAAAACTGTACCTAAAAGTGTTCAATGTATGTTAGCATTTATAAAAGAGAATAGTTTAGTTGAAGTATATCCTTATATTGATATTGCTCTAAGGATACTACTATGTATGTACACCTTCAAGTAATTGTTCAACGGAAAAATCATTTTCTACATTAAAAAAGGGTCAAAACTTATTTAAAAGATCAATAACGGGAAAAAATCGTCTTAATTAATTAACAAACCTCAACATTGAAGCTGATTTAACGAAAACTATTAATTTTAATGATGTTATTTAACATTTTTCTTCTCAAAAGTCAAGAAAAAAAGTATAAGCTATCAATTATTTTATTATATATAATTAATAATAAATATAATATATTTAATCTAATAAAAAAACCATGTATTGTTAATCATTGTGCATATAATAAATGTTAACTCCATTTTTTATATTTAATATATATATATATTTTAAGAAAGGAATATTCACTTTGAAAAAAAAAATTAGGTTAACGTTAGGTATTACTAAAAAATTATCTAATACAATATCGTAAAACAACTGATTTATAATTTGTTTCATAAAATTAACTTTTTTATTACTTAACTTTGAATTTATTTATATGTATTATTTTTTTTTTTTTTTTTTGATAAGGGGAAAGGGCGGAAAAATTATTTTGCCCCGGGGCGCGTATATATTAAATGTGCCACTGCTTTTACCACGTTTACATCATTCACCGTAACATATACATAAATAATACATTAATAAACTGAAATTAAAAAGAAAATGCAATTTTGTTGCATTAGACTTAATCAGCATACACATTGCAGATATTAGATAAATTAATTGATGTCAGAGTAGCGTGCGATCTACCTGTAATCTACCCATTACTATCCAGTTCTTTACCGGTAAAAAAAGAGAGGTGTATCTATTTATATGCTTCAGTCAAATTTAGATCTGTATTGTTGGAAGGTGTGGCGGAAAAGTGAACCAGATTTGTTCATTGCTTTTTTAAATAATATGCATTCATTAATAGCGACTAAAACGAAATTTATATAATGTGGATGTGATTTTGAAATACGTGTGAGCCCATCTCCTTGTGCTCTATTTTGGGTAATGCTAAGCGGCTCACAAATCGCGTTCACCAAAAACAGGCTGGTAGATCGCACTCTACGCCAGAAATGAGCTGGTAGATCGCACGCTATACTGGCATTAATTAATTTTCATATTTTAGGTAGGTAAGTATTAGGTAATAGATTTGATGTATTGTAACAGATATTGTTTTTTAGTCAATTTTTCTATAGCTTATTCCAGAAGTTGGAAAATATCATCGCCGATAGCAGCATTTCTTTCTAGTAACAGTATCAACAACAGTAACTGTTACTTTCTCTGTTAATTTTATGTGAAGCAATAACAGTTTATAACAGTTACGGAAATTGATACTAAAGTTGCCATCACTACAGCATACTGAGATTTTTTAATTTCAACTAGTCTGAAGTAAGGTTAAGAATAAAACTATTATCATTCATATTTAACTAATGGTAATAATAATGTTGTAAAATGCCACAAGTATTTAAGAACAAAATGTGTAATCATTAGTATTTATGACTCACCAGATCTTCGAAATGTATACATGCATTCCACTCCGACAAAAGGAGTTCCGCAATAAAATTATTGTTTGAGATAATAGATAAAATATGTGTAAGGAAAATATTGAGCTCACAAACAAAACACAAAAAACAAACTTATGATTCCTTTATCGGAGTTCATCACTTATCGGTAGAAAAAAAAATGTTTGCCTTGTACTCAGCAGTTTGTTATCGCTCAATGATAATAGCAGTAAGCATAATTTTTTTTTACCTAGAAATGTTGTTTGGACTTCAATAAGTACAAAAATGTACCATATTATAATAAGAAACCCATTGAAATATAAAGGAGTATATTTTTCTATATAGGTAACTTTGAATGTAAAAACACATTTCTGGTTCACTTATTAGTAAATTCTGACATCCAAATATAATAACATTGATAATCATATAATTATTATTATTATTATTATTATGAGTAAATACGTAGATACAATTAATTCGGAGCATCCAAGTTAGGTCCCAAGTGCTAGGGGCTAATCGCAGGTAGTGTACTAATTGGTTACCAGGTTTTTATAAGTACTACATTATACTAACATTCTATGATCTATTTAGACCACAAGTATGGTTAAAAATGTTTTTTATAGTTTCTTTTCCATTAAAATATAAATTATTAAAATTATGTTGGTAAAAATACTAAAAATGTTATAAATCGAGTATAAAAATACATATTATAAAATATAATTATAGCCATATAGGTAAATGAAAAATATTAAAAATGTTAAAAATCAAGTATAAAAATACATTTTAACTACTTTTTTTACTACGAATATCCCAATAGTAATATTATATAAATAGGTATTAGTACTAAAAAAGCAACAAAAGAATAGCTTCGAAATGATACCAAATTCTAACTTAAAAAAATCAGATTGCATAACTGTTTTACTGATATAGCCACATTTAATATTTGACATCTTTCTATAAATCTGCCATACCATATTTGTAATGTACCTACTATTGTTACTAAAGAAAAAGTCCTATATCATTATATTTATTATGGTAGCTGAAGATTAGGCTAAAATAATGAAAAAAATTTATATTATTTACATTATTTTTATTGAATCAATATAATTTGTATGTCTAAAATATATTATATATATAGGTTAGGTTAGGTTTATATATAATATATAATATATATATATATATATAAACAGGTGTCTTTACTATTTAATAACTAAATCAAAAATCAGAAAACTAAATTAATTACAATACTCAAAAAATATATCAATAGAAATTATATTAAATTATATAAGATCATATATTAAATTAATATAAGTATATACTTTATTACACATACAATTTCTTACTATTTTTATTTCGTAAAAATATGTATAATATACAATTGTATCAAAGTTAGCTGAACAATTTAATTTTTAGTTTATAACAAGTTTATAACACCCACCAGTAAATATTAAAAGATGTTGTTTAACTTTTTCATCAAGGAAAAGACGAAACTGTGTCAAACTGCAATCTACACCAGTTCCTTGAGTAGCAAACATCATTAACATTTGATGAATTCTATCTAATGTCAATGAATTAAGATTTGGTAACATGCCCACAATATACAACCAAAACACCTGATGAATTCATAAAAAATGCAATGTATAATATGCAAAACATACATGTTTTATTGTTTTCTATAATTTAAATGTTAAAAATATATATAATTATAATCATGCGTTTAAAAAATTTAATACTTAACAATTTATACAATAAAATAGGTTTATAAATATTTGTATTTAGTTTAGCTTACAAATTGTTCACTTGCGCCTTAAGTTATCTAATCTAGCTTGCAAGTCTGCATCGGCATCATTGGGTTGTGGTACATTAGCCCCACCTCCACCGTCTTGAGCCACAACTGGTACTTTGCCTGTGGCAGCTATACTTATTGATCCAGATGCTGAGGGTAATCCTGATAGTTGATCTGTAAGCTGAAGACCTAACTCATCTAATACTTGTGTTACAATTTGATCTCTGAAAAAAAAATTTAATTTTTTATGAGTGAATGTTTTTCCTATATAAATTATAAAATATTCTCTTATTTCTTAAAAAAGCACAATATTCTTTTTTATTAAATATAAAATTTTTATAATTGTATAAATTGTATAAATCATGCATATTAACTACAATTAGTTATTCAGTCAATAATAAATACTGCAATAACACATAAAAATACTTATGAATGCTACTATAGTTAATAAAAATTAATTAATCTTACGTTTCTTCTTCATCTCCTTCATCTTCCATTGCATCATCCATAGCATCATTCATTACTTCTTCCTTCATGTCCATCACTTCTGACTGTTTTTCAAACTCTTGCAGTATCCTTTGAATTTGTGGTAAATTCAATTGCCTAAATATGAAAATTATCTATTAGTACTAATCCATTAATCCATTACACATTGCAATATTCTACACATATATTATTATATAAGAGCAAAGTGGAAAAAGATAGTTCATGTTTTAACTTCTAATGTTAAAAAGCAATCATATGTATAAAATGGTATATCATGAACATAGACATAACTAAATGGGAAACTTTAGGGAATTAGTTCCATCAATATTTTCTGAAACACTGTTTTTATTTAAAAATTTGAAAAGTTACCCAAAAACATATTAGGCACAAAAACAATAAAAAATTATTTGTGAGTTTATAATGTATACACAGGGAAAACCACAAGAAAAAATTACAAGGGATTTTTGAAAATATGTAAAATTTAAAATGTTGATAAAAAGCATGTTTTATTACCATTAAATAATATTTATGTATATATTTATATATTTTGTTTACAAGTTTTATAAGAAACTTTGAAATAACTATTGAATTTGTAGGCCAAGTAATTTTAGTATAAAATGTTTTCTGATAGGTAGGGGGGGCTTCACTCCTATCCTCCCTACATTTACACCTGTGTGTACAATATTGTGAAATAAGATTCCTAGTATGGATAAAATACCTTTCCCTAAATATTTGTGATACTCAACCCTCTTACTTAAGTACCTGGTTACCTTTTGATCATGAATTAAGAAAATTATTGTTTGGATTATTTAATATTAAGATAAATTTAACAAATTTACTTTTATTTAAACATAAAATCAATAACAAATAATATTATCTCAAAATAACAGCTATTAATTATTACTTATTTATAAGCATCATAATTATTAAAAACATAAAACATTTACCTGTTCATATTTTGCATGGCTTTAGTTACACCTCTCATTGCTTGCCCCATAGCATTTTGTGATTTAAGTGTTTGTATTTTTAATGATACTGCTTGTATATTAGCTTTCATTACCATAAATTTTTTCTGGTAACGTCTTGTTCTCACTAAATCTCTAGCCATGATTTTCACCGATTCCTAAATCCTCAAAATATTTAACTAATTTATTTAACAAATATCTTATACTAATACTTCTAAGATATGCTTTTAAAAGAATATAAATAATTTTTTCAAAGAACATTTTTAGTAATTATAGGTACTTAAACTTAATATTTTAATTAACCATACTTGACTCATAAGTTGGAATCATGTATTTAATATTAATAAAAGCATGAGCGCCTCCATGTCTTTCAAGAATTTCTAAAGTATTATTCACTAAGTCTCCAATATCTTCTTGTTGATATTGTGCATAATCAATACCATCTCCTGTGTTTTTGTTTAGATTCTTATATACATTTAGAGGAGGCAGTATTTGTCTATAATAAGGCACTAGAGCTTCTCCAACCATGTCAGCTGATGTCACTAATGTTTGTATCATTTTTAATGTAGCTATTACTACATCTGGATGACCTGTGTTAAGTGCTAATTTTATTGGAATGATTAGTTGGGGCACAACAGGTAGTATACGATCTGGTGTACCATTTTTTAACATATCTATGGCTCCACGCTCAGCCACTGCTCGATATGGGTATGCAATTTCACGTAATCCATCAAAAAATATTGGTAAATAATGGTGATAATCTATTTTTTCAAATGGTGTTTTCCACATAACTCGTCCACTATCAACGGATAACATAAAATCACCTCTATCGTAATATCGTCGAAATGCAGTATTTCCAATTGGTGTTTGACATGAGCGTGTTCGTGGGGGGCCAGCAACAACTGTATTTGGCTGACGTGATTGAGAGCTAAATGGTGGAACTATGCGCTTGGTTCGTGATTTTAATGATTTCATAACAGAATAAGAAATATTTAAATAATTAAATAACTGATTAAAAATATTTGAATAACACACTAATTTATACTATGAACTTTGTAGTTATCAAAAAAAATATTATAAAAAACATTAAAAATATTATCAATATTTCAAATTATGTACAATAAGGTAAGTTTAGAAGTAGCACTATTCTTTTAATGAATGTTATTTGGTTACTATGATACAGTTATTGATCAAATACAAAATAAGTCCAAATTATATAATAAGTGATAGTAAAATAAAATAACAAATGAATATTATAAACGTTTTTATTAGAAAGTAAGTATGATAAAATAAATAAATTGTTAAGTTTTTAATATAAATATGTACTTCTAAAATATTGATATAAAATATTAATTATACTTATTATAAATAATTTGTAAAATGTTTTTTTTAATGAAACTATATTGCAGATAAATTAAAACAAAGTACATAATATAGTAGATGTGATCCATTCTTATTCAGTTATAAAATTATAAGTTTTTTAAAATATACCATGAATAAATGGATATAATGTATCAAAAGCTATTAATTTCATACACTTGTAAAAACTTGTAATAACTTGTAAAATGAATAATATATAATTTCTCTGATGAATATTTGTAATTTATTATAAAATATTCAAATAGAAAGTACTCTGATCAACATGTTTTGGTCTACCATACTTGTTACATATCCTGGAATATCCCAACTTAGCATAAGAATCATTAGATTTTGGGAAGCAAAACTCAATAATTTCTCGAAAGATTAACAAGAAGAGTAAAAATTTAAAGGTTCTCTAAATTAAAGAAAACTATAGTTAATCATCAATAGTATTGAAATACATGAATCAAAATATTAACAAGATTAACACTAAAAATAATATATTAAATACTTACTAAATAAAACATAATTTTATATTAAATAGTTTATTATTTAAAGTGACATGATACTGTTAACAGGTTGAATAGATTAATTACATATACTAAAAACTATAATTTTCGTAAACTTAGTTTATTTTTAAAAAATTAAAAACACTTAACAATTTATTTACCATTTGTCCATCTTTAGCCATTTTCTTGATGTCCATGATTATTTTCTTTTCTTGCTGTTCCATTCTCATATTTTCACGGTCCAAATCACGCATAGCCTTGTTGAGTGCACGTTGATTCTTTCTTAACATCTCATCAGGCGTCATACGACGCCCAAATAACCATTCCATCGGCATACTATAATAAGTGTAGTATTATAATATATAATTATATATTAAATAAATATATTAGTATATAACTTTTTTTTAAAAAATACTAGTGATGGGAGTAAATAACAATAACAGTAACATTATCTATGTTTTATGAACAGTGATTTATAACAATTACTACTAAAGCAGTGGTTCTCAACCTTCTTTTGTTCACGGCACACTAATATACATCAAAAGTTTTCGCAGCATACTCATGCACTGGACAACAACAACAACTTTAGCCACGCCAAATCTAGTAGGGTTAAAACCGTGCAATGTACACTATACATTTTACTTAAACATTTATCTGCACAATTAATTGACATTTAACTGTCACAGTTTTATCAATCGGCCATTTTTCGCGGCACAATAGTGCACCAGTTGAGAACCACTGTACTAAAGTAACAAGAAAAGCTGTTCTTTGGAAGAAAAAATAACAGTTATTGTTATTATTGTTTTGACGTTTTTTTTTTTAACCCAAGGTTTTGGGTTAAGGGGATCAGTGGTGATCACCAATTTAGATAATAATATAGATAGTATCTATATAATTGTAGCGTACCTCCACACCATAGATATTAAACATATGGATACGGCATTCCTTTATACATTCTACATACACCGTTTAGGCCAACATAACGGAAAGAGAAACGATGGTTCTTACTCGCACACATCTTCTGTGTGACAAGGAAAGTAAAACTCTTGTAAGAGAGAGAAAACATAATATGTACAGATAATTGATAAGATATTATTATCATAGATATTAAACTATGTTTTATGTAATTTAATTTTATTATGTTTAATATCTATGGTTTAATATGATTATTATAGAACATTAAATAATAAAAAAAAAAAAGAAAGGTGATATATGATAAATATATGATTGTAAAAAATGGTTAAATGTTTAATATGTAATCTAAGTGACCAAACGATTGAACATGCTCAATGTAAAATCAGCTTTCATTCGTAAGTACTTTTCTTGTTTTAATAATGAATTTTAGTTGTCATCACCATTTTAGTTTTTAAATATAATTAAAGGAAGATTTGTAATCGTGATTATGATTATTAATTTACTAAAAATTGACTTTAATTAACTTTTTTTTTTTATTTACTGAAAATTTCTAAAAAGAATTAACTGTTCAGTATGTAGTAGTTGTATACAAAATAGTGAGACAGATAATTATTTAATAAACATAAAAAACCGAGGTTCCTTAGTAAAACCATCTAAAGATGTAGAGTTACTGTGCAAAGAAACTGAAAAATGTATTAGGCAGCATCAAGAAATTGTATTCAAACAAAAAATACAGTACAATTTTTGAAAATTAAGTAAAAAGAGCATTATATGAAATTGTTTTTAAAAATGAAGAAATTTATCAACATATAATCTGTCAGCAACAATTTAATAATCACAGAGATAAAATGATAAATTTAATAATTACATTCTACCTTCATATTCAACTACACCATGAAGGTAAACAATTTGAATCATGTCTCCGGAATAAATTTACCAAACTAGTATTATTTAATAATGAATAGCAAAATTATTTTATTTATGCTAAAAAAGTATTACCATCGCTTTTAATTGTACATTTTGTTTATATAATATAATATTGTTATAAAATAAAAAATGAAAATCATAATTTCATATTATGTTATCTTAAATATTTTGTTCTCTATAATCACCATTGATATTAAACTATTTAAATTAAACATATGTTTAATATCAATGGATGATAATCACTCTTGATAATTGTTACAATTTTATCAATTATGACATCTAGCAGTTAATAATAGTATGAATTATGTTAGCTTATAGATTTTTGTGTTATGCCGCATCCATTAGTTTAATACACAGACTTCTATACTACACTAGATAAGTAACTACTATATAATTTACATGGCTATGAGTGAATCTGATAAGGTGTACAGCCGTCCATTTTGTCGGTTGGCAACAAAATCTATTATTCTATATGCATCAAATACTTATTTCCTTGATATTTCTTTATTAAATCAGATTTAAATAATGTGAAAATTTAAGGATTAAACCAAATATAATTAAGGAAAAAGAAAACAATGTTTATCACAAATATATACATATTAGTTTATTATTAAAACATACACAGTATACAATCACATATTACTAAATAATACTAATTTGGTTAATTGTCGCCGTTTACTAACAATAGAAGACGTTTTTGATTTGGCAACATGATGCAGACGTATTTTTAAATAAGTAATTTCATGTGGCTAAATTTTCTTCGTTCAATCAACCATTTTTTTGCCCACTTTCTTCTTTTCTTCCGTCAATGTCAATGATAATGCTGTAAGGCAAATTCCCAATTTCTGTTGGTTGGATAACGGAGCCATAATAGATTGATTAAATATATTTAATGCACGGGTGAACACTCGTTTAAATCGTTAAAATCGTAAAATGTAAATTGTAAATCGTAAATTGTAAAAAAAAACTCGTAAAAAACACAAATTCGACATGCGAACACTACAAGTGAACACGAACTAGACTGACTAAATCGTGTGGTGGTCGTACTGTGTGTACGCAACATCTGATTTGGTCAGGTATCCTGTCGGCCCGTCCTAATCAGGTAGTGTGTAACGCGCTTAAGATATTGAAATTATAATCATAATGTTTGGTTGAAATTATTATTTTTGCAGATAAACCAGATATATGAGAAGTAAAATTGTTAGTTAATTTGATTAAAGAATTTTCAATATATTTAATTAATTTCTTAACATTTTTTTGAACTCTTTAAAAATGCACCTCCATTTTTCACTTCAGTCAATACAGAATAGACACGTTTATGACTATAGTTATGTTCACTTGATTGTTCTATAAGATTGTCTACACATGTTGAACAATCAATTATTTTAAGTAAATTTCTAACAATAAAACCAGTAATATAATAAAGAATATTATCCTTAATAATTCTCGATTGGTCAGTCTCACCTATCAAAAAATCTGAAAGATTTGATTCTTCTTCATATTCAATGTTTAATAAATCATCAGAATTTCTTTTTGACCAGCGTATTTCAAATATACTTTCAACATTACTATTGTGCATCTCAATACAGTTAGCAGCGTAAGATGAAGAGATGGAATTTTTAAAAAACCACTGTTTCATAGATGATTTAAATTCTACTACATTAGGGTTATTATTATTACCAAAACGCTGACGAATTTTAGAGAAAAATATCTCTAAATGGTCCTGAGAAAATTTATATCTTAAAAGATATTTGTACGAGTGAAAAACAATTTTCTATTAAATAATAAATAATCAATTGTTAAAGAATATTGAAGAATATTCAATATAATGCTGCACAGGACTAAATGTAACGTTTAATGTTTTGCCAACCGATAAAATGGCGGAAACTGATAAGCCAAGCTTCAGTAAATATCGACAGTACCTTATCTAGTTAGTATAGAAGTCCGTGTCTCAGCACGACCGTCCGAGGCGACACGGCCGTTTACGCGCGCCGAGCTCGCTCTCTCGTTCGACCGTTCACCCAAACAACACGTATGTAATTCGAGACCGCCTTTACGTCTCGTCTTGCGTCACACACGTGTTTTCCTTCCAACGATTAACGACTCACGCCAGTTCTCTTACCTTTTCATTATTTACGTGTTTTGCACCTATATCTTATTAAATACATACATTGTTTGTCATACAAAACGTGGTATTTTTATTATTTCTTACATATATATATATATTATATTGACGCCTTTACATTAATTTGTGCGGTGCGCGGATTGTACTCCGACGAGTCTTATCCTCGTACATCCCCGTTCTCGCCAAATCATCATTGATAAGAGATAAAAATGAAGTTTCCAAATTCATTGGTGCTAACGTCGAAAAAAAAAAATTCTTTCCAATCCAACCTCTACAGTGTCATTAACATAATAACAAAAAAATCCCTGAATTTCAAATTTATTTATTTTCAAAATCAAATTTATTTATTTTCAAATTCAAATTTCAAAACCAATATTTTTGATCTATGCTCCACACGCACCACCACAACACTGTCGTGAAGGTGGCGACACTGCCGTTGCCCCCATGCTCCGTCACTCGAGTGACTTCCATGAGCCCCTCGACCGAATCGACAACGAACCCAAAGCTCGTCATCGCCGACACTAGAGATGGGACTTATCGTTCATTAAATTGAACTAGTTCAGTTGTTCATCGTTCACTAAATTGAACTAGTTCATCTTTCATATATTTGACGATTCGTTCGTATGAATACATACTCAGTATCAAAGAATTGTTCATAAACGAACTAGTTCAATAATTATTACTCCATATCAATGAATCGTTCATGAACGATTAAGTACGTAGCGTATAGCATAGTATAAAAAGTACAAAGTGAACGGTGAACGAGTCGTTCATCAAAAGTGAACTAGTACGAAACCGGTCACTTGGGTGAATAGTTCAATTGAACTAGTGATTGAACAATTGAACTTCATGATCGACACTCTGTCTATTGCGCTACTTTCGCAAAGTTCGTCGCAAGAACACCCTCGACCGACAACCGACCCGACTTGACATCGGTTGTCTAACTTCTCTATCGTCGAGCAACTTTTTTTTATATTCTGCGTCGCATACCTGTCCCCGTACTCGACACCGTCGTACGCAACTATTGTACCGCCTAACTCAGACACACTTCGGTTGTACATAATATATATCTTTGTAAATAAAAACGGTTTGTCATACGACAAAACCCCGTGTTCACGTTATTGAACTGGTGACCTCGCTAAATACATATTGTTGGCGGTGAGGCCGCCACATAATTATAGACATAAGCGCACATAGGGGGGGTGCTCGGGGGTACTTAGCATCCCCTCGTTTAAAATTAGCATCCCCAGTTTCCTAGAATATTTATTTCAGTATTTCATCAATAAATTGTAAATTATTGTGATTTATTGGGTTGGACATTTTTTTTTCCACTATAGACAATAATATATAATATAGTTAACGAATACACGATTAAAACAGTATAATTGTATAATTGCACGTTTTACTGTTTCAGTTTTTTGTCTAACTATTAAACTATAAACAGCAATCAAAATATTATAGATAATCATATTATTTTACTTTATATTATCTACGGTTTACGGTTGGCTACGAAGTTATGTTCCATTTATAACTTTGATTATTACTTGGTTTTTAGTAATATTTAACCAGTGGGCTACGCAGAATTGTATGCGAAATGACAAATATTATTACCAATCATACAAACTATATGATTTATTACTATTTAAATTTTATATACTAGTTCATATTTTTGATACATCAGGTTATTTTGAATATATCGACAGTTAGTTTATCTGCAAAAATGCTGGTCATAAAGAATAGTCTACTAGCTAACTTTGAATTCGAAGACTTGAAAAATCAATATAATAAAAGTTAGTTTCCAAACGCTTATAAACTTTTTCAAGTGGTAATGACAATTCCAATTTCTTCTTTAACGTGTGAACGCTCCTTTTCAGCTATGCGTAGATTTAAAAATTGGTTACGCACTAGTATAGACCAAGAAAGATTTATTAAGCTATTTACACTTAGCATTGAGAGAGATCTTACCAATAAAATAGATGGGAATATTATATTGAAAAATTTGCATTATCAAACAAGAAATTAATTCTTGTTTAATATATTATTATAACTTATAATATAATTACTTTTAAATATTCATTAATAAAAATTAAAAATTATGGCAACGCAGTTGATTATAGTATTAGGGGGTGTAGGGGGTAAAGCCCCCCCACGGACCTGTGTATTTTAAATTATTCCAGCATCCCCTGTGTGTACGCGAAACCTCAATGGTCGGACAGAGGTAATCCGACGGCTTCGCCACACTCGAAATAAACCCGACTACAACGTCAATCCGTAAAAAAGGAATGAGGGACAGAGGTAGCCTCAAATTAAGTCAAGGACATAAATTATGATACCGTTAATTTATATTAAAATAAATATCCCATAATAATAACAAAAATAATAATTACACACTTGATGGGCGCCCAAGAATTAAAATACTCAAATGAACATATAAATTATCAATTATACGAATAATAATAATAATAATTATAATAAAGATATGAATAAAAGAATTAACAATAATTATTGTGAACAATACACGAGTTAGGTCACGGTACGTGTCACCGGTTTCGATCATAAATACCTCGATCGGTCTTATGGTCTGTGTGGTTGCGCCCACGCGACCGTGCACACAGCACGTGCGACAGCCATCAAGACCGACAGATGTTGACGACTTCGGAAGCTCACTGGACGCGACCAACCTCGACGACGATGACACTGCCGATGGCTTGAATGGCGATGTGGAAAGGACAAGCCACGCACACGAAGATGACGGACCACGGCAAAAGGGATAATACGCTCGGCGGTGATACGCACGACGGTAACATGCACGACGGCAAAGGAAAAGTCACACACCCGGCGGTAACATGCACGACGGCAAAGGAAAAGTCACACACCCGGCGGTAACATGCACGACGGCAAAAGAAAAGTCACACACCCGGTGGGAATGCGCACCACCAGCTCGCTCGGTTGCAAGTGTCGCCCCGGAGCGTGATGCCAGCGCGACGAAGCGCGCCGACCGCAAGTTCGCGAACATTCCATAATTGGCACGCTATCGGGGGGAACCGGTTGTCGTGGCCAGACACAAGTACAATAGCTTATTCGAACATCCTGAATTCACACACAATGTGCGCCTATGATTATAGATTAGATAATATCTATATTATTATCTATAGCCGTGGTGGTGGTGGTATATATATGGAGTATATATGGAGTTAGGTATAGGCAATATTTAAAAAATGCGTGACTTGTGACCACGGATATTGATAATAATATAATATTAATTATTATTATATTATATTAATATTTTTAACAATTTGGATTCAGAAGGAATATGGGAACGAGGGAAGCAATATTGGCGTTAAGGATAATCATTCAAAAAATGATTAGGAAAGACAAACAAACATTTATAGCTTTCGTTGATATTGAAAGAGCATTTGATAACGTAAACTAGAAGGTCATGTTTAAAATGATGAAAATATTGGGGATAAAATACACAGATAGGAAACTTCTGTACAACCTATACAAGGATGAATTCGCAGTTATAAGGATCCAAGATGAGGAAGAAGAAGTAAAAATAAACAGAAGAGTTAGACAAGGTTGTACATTATCCTCAATTATATTCAACGCATATATTCAAGAAGCAATAGATATGATAAAGGAAAATGGCAAACTTGGGATAAAGATTAATGGACAAAAAATAAGTATGTGACGTTTTGCCGATGACATAGCTTTAATTGCTGAGAGCAAGGAAGATCTGGCTCAACTAATTAATGCTATAGATAAAACATTCGAAAAAGAGCTGGAATTGAGAATAAATATGAAGAAAACAAAAGTACTGGTATGTGAAAGGGAAAATAATACAAAAATACAGATAAAAGTACGAAATCAAACAATAGAACAAGTAGATGAATTTACATACCTGGGAAGCACAATCAGCAAGGATGGAAGAAACAGAAGTGAAATTATAAAACGTATCTGTCAAGCTAAAATAGCCTTTAACAAAAAGAAAACTATATTTACATCAAGAAGCATCAGTCTGAAAATAAGAAAGAACCTATTAAAGACGTATGTATGGAGCATTGCCCTGTACGGGTGTGAAACCTGGACAATAACAATGGAGGAAAAAAGAAGACTTGAGGCGTTTGAAATGTGGTGCTATAGAAGGATGTTAAGGATAAGCTGGATGGACAGAGTAACCCACGTAGAAGTACCGGAAAGATTATCAGATGGAAAGTTACTATGGAATAACATAGTCAGAAGGCGGAACGAATAAATAGGCTATATCATGAGACACGAAGGATTGTTGAAATTGATAATAGAAGGAATAATAGAAGGAAATAACCGTAGGGGTAGACCAAGATTGGAATTCATTCAACAGATAATAAAGGACCAAGGATGTGACTCATATGTGGAAATGAAAAGGAAGGCGGATAAGAGAGAAGACTGGAAGATGGCTGCAAACCAATCTACGGATTGAAACCATAGAGAGAGAGATATTAATATTTATATAATAAGATAATATATAATAACAATATTATCTATATACCTGTGCTTGTGACCATGTGCGCAGTGAATGGTTATTAGTATGTGTACGTGTCCCGCACTATACTACACCATGTACTTTATACCTGTTTTACTTCTTATCTGCTAATTGACAAATAACTACCAAAATGTATAGTTATACACAATAATAATCATTACGTATAAAATAACAATACGCACATAATGTTCTGCCTTCTACATTATGTCTTATGATCGTTCATCGTCTATTCTTCATTATTTCTATAACACTATTTTTACATATCTTTACTCATCAACATTTTGTTATTTTTCAATTTCACTGATTTAATCTTTAAAAATTTGAAAATTTATTTATTATAAAAATACGAGTTTTCTGTTTTAAAGTATAATGAATTAAATATTAAATAATAAACGCATTTAGCATAGCCACATTTAATGTTTGATACCCAGTGGTGCCGAAGTCCATGTTTATGTATGGCAGCTGCCATATATATAAACATTTGTGGGGGGGGGGGTGACTCCAGAGGAAAATAAAATGATGACAATTAATAGAAATAGGATCACAAATTATTAAGTAGTATTGCCCACTGCGAGTATTTGGTATTACATATACATTATTTCGTTGATCAATCAACACCAAATAGTTCATAATAATACGATCTTATTCTAAGTCTTATTCATTAAGCAGAAATAAAATATTTTGTATTCATTGTATGCTTTTTGGAACCAATTTGCATAGTAATTTAGAAAAATCTTGGACCAAAGAAGGGCTTAATAAATGGAAAAATTGTTCATTTGCTATTCAAAGACATGAATCAACTCCAGATCATGTAACATCATCTTTAAAATGTAAGTTACGTCAAAACAATGTGCCAATTTTGCCTTCAATTGAAAATAATAGAAAAACTCAGATAGCAATGAATAGACAAGTTTTATTAGAGCTTATAGACATTGTAATATACATGGAACGTCATAACCTGGCATTTCGTGGGCATTATGAGGATTGGTCTTCAAATTCTCGAGGTAATTTTAAGGACTTGGTTATGTTAATGTCTAAAAATTCCGGACCATTAGCGGAATACATTAACTGTATTCAACAAAATGGAAAACGTGAAACATCTTTTATTTCATGGCAAAGACAAAATCAGTTGATTGAAGCTATTGCCGAAGATATTTAATTTCAAATAAGATAATTTATTAAAGCTGTAAGAATGTTTAGCATATCGATTGATACTACATTTGATGCATCTCGTAATGAACAAATATCATTTATTATACGGTAAATAAATACAATTATTATATGTTTATATATGTTTATATATGTTTTGTTATGTTCTATTAATATGTTTTGTTTAATTTATGTTTTTTTAGATATGCTGTTTTTTATATTAGAAGTGACTGGTGAGGTTCATGAAAGACTATTAGCAGTAAAGGAATCACCAATTACATCTGGAAAAAAATTATATGACATTTTTGTAAATGTAATGGAAGCTGAAAATTTGAATTGGAAAGAAGAGCTGGTTGGTCAGTCATATGATGGAGCTAGTAACATGCGTGGTAACTATTATGGCCTCCAAGTTCATATTAAAGAAGAAAGCCCACAAGCATTATTTGTGTGGTGTCACTCCCATCGTTTGGCTTTGGTAGTAAAACAAGCAGTATCGTGTAACTCCAACGCAGTTGATTTATTTGGCAATTTAGAAACTCTCTATGTTTTTCTTTGGTGTTCAAAGAAAAGAGCAGCGATTTTCAGAGAAATTCAAATTGAATGTGATAATATGGAAGGTAAATATAATCCATTGCATGCTGTTAAGAGAGTAAGTACAACATGTTGGAGTTCTCATGCGGCAGCATTACATGTAGTTTAAAATTCCACAATGCAGTTTTAAAAACATTAAATAAAATTAAAGATTCTGAAAGATCTGCTGATGTAGTAGTTGGTGCGAGTTGTAGTGGTTTGATATCATACCTTACATCCCAACGTTTTCTTCTAACAGCATTATTATTCAAAACTATATTTCAAATACTTGAACCTGTCACCCACCAATTGCAGTCCCAAGATATGGATATGCTTATGGCCACAAATATTTTAAATAATGTGATTCATCAAATCAAAGAACTTAGAAATGATGATTCGTTTAAAAGATTACTAAAAAGGACTGATGAGTTTGCTGAAAATAGTATTGTTGACTTTTTACCTCTTGTATCTAGTCGACCCAAACGTGTTCCAAGAAAATCAGGTGTATATATTTTTCAAAATAAATATCAATTATTAATTTAATTTATCAAGAAAGTATGATTGTTCTAAATTTCAAAATGTAATATTAATTTCAGGTGAACACTGTCAGGATGAAATTATATCATGCCCCATGACAAAATTTAGAATTGATACATACAATGTCATAATGGATATTCTTTTAGCAGAGTTAAGTGGACGTTTTGAAAGCACCAATATAGGGCCTCTAAAAGACTTATCCCTTCTTTCATTTAGACGTATTCGAGAAGTTCAAAATAATTCACACATTGTACCTTGTGATGCCTTTGACGCTTTGTGTACCATCTACTCACAAATCGATAAAAACTCATTATTGACAGAATATATTGAATTTTGTAAAAGTTTTACTGAAATAGTAAACAGTATTTTACTTCCTAAGTATCCTAACTAAAATTTAATAGTCCAAGATTATGAAGATTCGCTAGAGTTAAACGCATATAGTTATGATAGTGCGGAAGAAGATTCTGCAAAAGTTGTTTATCATAACATAGCAAGTGCGAGGGAATTATTTAAATTATTTTGTTTGGCTAAATTAGCTAATATTTTTCCAAATTTATATTTAGTTTAAAATTATCTATCACATTACCTGTAACAAGCTGTAGCTTAGAGCGAACATTTTCTAAATTAAAACTTATAAAAACAAAGTTAAGAACAACTATGTTACAAGATCGTCTCGATAGTTTAATGAAAATATCATGTGAGCAAGATATAATTATTAATAATGAAAATGTAATTTATTTATTTGCAGCTAAAAGTAGTGTTCTAACTAAATGTTTGATTTATTAATAAATATTTAATACTTATAATAATATTGTTATGAAAGAATATAATTATTATTAATATTGTATATAATATAATATAAAAGGTTGCGTTTTGACATTTTGTTTGTATTTTTGTATTTTGTAGTAGGTATCATAGCAATTAGCAGGTAATTAAATATAATTATTATATATTATTATATTATATTATATTATATATTATTATTAATATTATTATTATATATTTTATATTTATATTAATATTTACATACGAATTAGTTGGAAAAGAAAAGAGAGTTAATCAAAAATAAAAGTGGGTGGAAAATTGTTTGACAGGTTTCAAATTTAATAAGTGGGTTATGTGATTGTGTGTGTTGTGGTGGGGGTGGGTGGGTGGTGGTCGGAGATCAATGCCATACATGTAATTTTGTACTTCGGCGCCACTGTTGATACCTATCTATAAATCTACCATACCATATTTGTAATGTACTATCCAGGGACGCAATTTTAATGAAAAATCTAGGGGTGCTGAAGCCCTTCTATCTTTTTCATGTTCCTTAATGGTTATAGTCACCCGCGACCCGTACAATTCAACAGTTAATAAAATATTTTGTAAATATTTGAATATTTCTAAATTTAAATTTTTGCTTTGATTTTATATTTTTATTGCGCATATAACGTCTGTAAACGCAAATGATTCTTTCACAAAACTTTTAGATTCTAAGTGAAGCGAAGAATATTATGGTTTTATAATGATGTTTGTATTATATTTTTTTAACACTTTCGCATAGAAATACTGGTTCATAAGTTTTTTCTATCAATTTTTTAGATTTTAAATTGACATGCGGTGGTAATTTAGATAGGTACCTAATTTTTTTTAAATCTCAATAGTTTTTCTATGCATGAGGAAAAAACTGTCCTGAAACGGTAAATAAGACTTTCATTTTTCAGATTTTAGTTATTTAATCATAATTCCAAAATTAATGTGGCTAGAAACTTGAAACTTTTACCTCGTATTAAAGATTTTTTTTTCATTATTTTAGAACATTTTCAAATAGAGATTTTGATTTAAATATAGAACTTTAAAAATACCTAATTTTTTGAAAGTCTTTATGTAATAAAATTTTTATTTTTGGATATTAAGTGAAAATTTAATATCAGCTACTAACTCATATACGAGTAGTTATTTACCAATACTAAAAATTTTTTTTAAAAATCATTGGTCTGAGTTTTATTTCATAAGCGTTTAAATAAATGTTTATACCTAAAAATGTTACGGATTTTACTGTTTTTATATACATTTTCAACATTAAATGTTTATTAAAAAAAATTTGGTTCATCCAATCATAATGAAACTTTGAATACAGATAAATATTTGGTTAGAAAAAAAAAATTAATAAGATTGTAAAAAATAAAATGTTAAACAGGTTGATAAAAAAAATAACCTACTAATATTTAAATTAAAAATTGTAAAATATACTCATAAATGGTTAGTTTTTATACTGCACCTTTACTCAGTCATTCAATATGATGGTTTAAGCATAGGGATTTCAAAATTTGGTAATCCTATTACTATTATCTAGTTCGAGGACCGAAAAAAAGAAGGACGAATTTCCATCATCATTATTTGAATAATAAATTTATATATTTATATAATAAAACTCGGTTTTTCTATACATAATGAGTAATAAGTATTTAAATGTAAATTAACATGAACACATTTGGGGGGTGCTAATTTCAAAAATGGGGGTATTAAGCACACCCAAGCCCCCCTAAATTGTGTCTATGGTACTATCGTTACAGAAAAAAAGTTCTATATTATTATATATGTTATGTATTTATTATGGTAGCTGAAGACTAGGCTTAAAAATAATGAAAACAATTTATACTATTTAAATTATTTTTATTGAATTAATATAATTTGTAGGTCTAAAATATATTATATATATATATATATATATATATATATATATAAATATTTATATGTAATATATTATTAATCAGAAAACTAAATTAATTACAACTTTCAAAAAATATATCGATAGGAATTATATTAAATTATATAAGATCATATGTAAAATTAGTGTTTAATATATGTATACATTTGATTACACATACAATTTTTTACTAACTATTTTTACTTCATAAAAAAATACATAATATACAATTGTATTCAAGTTAGTTGAACAATTTAATTATTTAGCAAGTTTATAACGACCACCAGTAAATATTAAAAGATGTTGTTTAACTTTTTCATCAAGGAAAAGACGAAGCTGTGTCAGACTGCAATCTACACCAGTTCCTTGAGTAGCAAACATCTTTAACATTTGATGAATTCTATCTAATGGCAATGAATCAAGATTCGTTAACATGCCCACAATATATGACCAAAACACCTGATGAATTTATAAAATAGATATTATAATGAAGTTTATTATACATATTGAATTTTTTGTATAATTTAATTACCTGCAATTCTTCTTCTCTTTGATCTTGAGCAGATGCCACAGCACTTTCCATTTCATCATCATCATCTCCATATACAAATTCAGAATTACGACTCACAACACTATTTCTATTACCTTTCCCTGATAAGCTTGTAGTTGGAATACCATCTTCCACAAAAATAAATTTATCAAAGGATTTCTCTCTTAACAAACCCTGAAAAAAATAATTTAAGTTAATTGTGACATAATAATAAAGTTAAAATATAATAAAGAAATTATTATACTTGATTTTGCCAAAATCCAATACGACGTCTTAATGTTGTTGCTGGTACACACATTTTTATACTTAGATCATTAATAGTCCATTCCTCTAAAAGTAAAAAAAGAATGATTTAAAAATCAACATTAGTCAAAAAGATAGTCAATATATGTAATATATCTTTTAATGTTTATTAAATTATCAATGAAATTAAATATATATCAATTTTGTTATTATCCAAGCACTCGAAAAGATTATTTTAAATTATCCAGTTAATGTAGAAAAAATCAAATCAAATTATTTTGTCATAGATATTACCAAAGTTATTTTATTAAGCTTACTGGTGCTAAGTTAACATTTTAATTACAATGTAATATGCCATATATTACTGCAACTACAGATTACTCATAATATAAATACACTGACAGATTAACAAAAATGTGCTTAATCTATGAATTTGACACAAAACACAATATTAATCAATAATCTTGGATAATATAAATACTAAATAAGCTATTATAGAAAAAGATAATGATGTGTATACATAGAAATTAAATAATAAATTATTTTAACATGAAAAAATAAAATTTTATAATTTAAATAATCAATATGTTACATACCTTGCTCTTGAAAATGCCATATAATAGTAGCATGAATTGGTGAAACAGTAAAATTTAGTATCTTATCTCTTAATTGTAAATCTATATTTATTATTCCAAGATTAGGCTTCCAATTTAAAGTTCGATTACCCTATGAATAATATTTTTAATCAAGTACAAATAAATAAGCAACACAATTATTATGATTAGTTTTAATTGTTTTATAGAATTTTTTATTTTAGATTATAATTTTATAACTTTGACTAACTTTAAATGATTCAAAAGCCTTTGTATAATTATCCAAATGCTTTTGAATAACTGGAGGTAATTCTACATTAAAATTGTCCTTGAAGTTAGGCCAGAATTGATTAGATACAATAATTGCTCTAACTGGAAATTCTAGTTCATTATTTAAATTATTTGATGATAAATTTGAAGTTGGATCAGAATATAAATGATGATTTATGCGTTTTGAGTCATAAACATCTTTTAGCATAACAGAACAGGAATGTAACAATGAATCTCCAAATCTAAAAATACATTTATTTATAATTTTTAGCAAACATTTTTCATAGGATAAATTTGATTAAAAAAAAAATTAATAACCACCTTAATTTTAATAACTCTAGATATCTGATCTCATCACCAATATTATCCATAAATTGTGTAAGAAGACGGTCTGCTAATAAAGCTCTATATTCATTAACAAACAATTCTCGGGTACCATAAATATCAACAAGCATTGATACAGTATCAGAATTACGAAAACGTTTGGATGATTTAGCTAGAAACATAAACATAAATACATTTTATGTAAACTATGAATTAGTTCTATTCGGTGATCAATTTACATGGGTTAGCATCTACTGGATCTGGCATCCATTTAGTCCAATCCGTCATATTTTCTTCTTCATAAATATCGTCTTCATCTAATACATTTTCATTTCTTACCAATTCATCAGTTAAGTAATGACCTTCTTCAGTAAGAGTGGTCATTACACAACGAACAGTATCCTTACGACTCCTCAAATATGCTCTAACAATATTAAAAAATAATGTACTTTCAGCTACTATAAGTATTTTCAAATTTCAATTAATTTTTTTTTTTACCGTATAGGTTGTGTAACTTCTTGCAATAGTGCCCCACAAGGATCAATTTTTCTTAGTACTTTAATTGCAGCAGTGTAAGCTGTTATAATGTCAATTGTATTCACAGCTGGATGCAGTAATCTACTATGTAGAGCATTTTGTAATTTTTTACAAAGTTCTGATTTCAAATTAGTCTTATGAAGAGTGAATGATAAATCAATAACAGCCGGTTCAGAATCAGGATATTCTACAAAACAAAAATATGCATAAAACTATTTAAAATAAATAAAATCATAGATTTCATAGTTAATGTTAATCTAGGACAAATTTGTTTACCAATTATAATGTTAAATAATTGATCAATTCTTGTTCTAGTATACGATTCATAAAGTAGATGTTTTAGCTTTTTCATAAATACTTCTATATTAGTATCTTCTAAATTTAAAGTTGTACTACACTTTGGTTTATATATATATTTCATCCAATCATAAACATTTGTATCAATCCACTTAAATAAATAAATTTAAATTATACTTTGAAGAATAATAAAATAATCATAACTTACTTTTTCTAAAGTTGATACTTGATGTTCTCCAAAATTTTCTTTAGTTATTTCTAGAACTTCGGTTTCAATTTTTTGATGAATTAAATCTATGATTACATCACCTGCCAATGGCTCTAAAATACCAATAGTTATCAATTGCCTGTCAACAAATAATATTGAGACAAAGTTTATATTTAAATATCAATGTTAAAACAAAATAAATTATTATAATTTAAAATAAATCAATAAATAAATGTAATATTAAGAATTTAAGCAACTAATTTTTGATTAGTTTATTTCAAGATATATTTTAGATTTATAATTTAAAAAAAATTATTTAAGTTATTAAAATAAGTAGAAAAATGATTAGAAAAATAAAATAATAAAAAAAAACCAATATCAATAAATTATTATTACCAGTTGGTTAAATGGAAAGATTCTAAAATGTAATCACATTTACAATCAACTATTTCAAAATTGCAACCATTGCAACATGAAGCTCCTTCTTTAGAAGTATTTTTTTTATCTGAAAATTAAAATTTTAAATAAATAATAATTTTGATTATATTTAAAAGTAAAATTACAATGCAGATTCATAACTTGATAAACTTACATAATTACTATAATTATTTGAATAAAAATAATAAAGAAAAGTAATTGATTAATATGATTTTACAATCAATTTAAATTTAAAATAATAATTTGTCAATTTAGGTAAAACATGAGATGATAATACATACCTCCGACAATGTCATCTTTACTAAATACTTTTAGAGCAGCTCTGTAAAATTGATAAATGATTGAATTATAATCACTAGGAAGCTGAGAATGTAATAACGCACAAATTTGGGCATTTAAATTTTTTAACAAATTTATTCTATTATTATTTTCAAATAGCATCTGAAGACGATTTATGGTATCAACATATGATTGAGCTAAATTAAATAACTCATCAATTGCAGTTTTAAATTTTTCAAAACCAATATAATCTTCAAAAATTTGTTCTTGAGTTTTAAGACCACTTAACTCAACCACATTATTAGGCATAAAATACAGCCAAAATTCATTAACCTTTGCCATTAAGTCTTGTTTGATTTTATTCATGACCATTCCATGAACAAAACTTATTAGTTTATTCTCCACAATAATATTTTTTATGACAACAAATTGTTCATCATCACATTGTTCAAAATGCTGTAGACAGAATAAACTTAATTTTAAAAATTTCAGGAATAAATTTTTGTACAAGAATAACATAAGTACCTAATGCAAAATAATTTAATTACAAATTATCATAATTTTTAAATGTCTTTCAATTCATATTTATTGCACTACTAACCTGTTCGTCTTTGGACAATATTGGAAATGCTATTATAATATCGTTCCAGTATGACTTTTTATCCATCTCTAAACAAAAAGCCTAACGTCGAAATTTAAAAAGGAACCACATACATTTAATAAAAATTTTTATTTAGTACAAGGTACCATAAAAATACTTAGAAACTATAGTATAAATTTATTTTTTAAGTTCTTCCAGATGAGTATTTCACATTGGTTTTACACTACCCATGAACTCTAATAAATAAGAAAGATAATATAGTGCTGATAAGGTTTCCAGTTTATCAATTTATACGATAACAGGAAGCCGGGAAACAAGAATGATCCCACAGAGGGTTATAATTTATTTCATATAAATAGCATTTGTTAAATACATAGTTCGTGGTGCACTCTACTTATTATGCTTATTTAGCATTTGATATGACTTAGCGACTTGCGATCTATTATAATATATAATAAATTGTCGTCTACAATATATTTTATAAACAATATAAGTATAAAATATTGTTTATAAATTAATATCATTAGTATAATTTATTTGTAATTTTTATTTTACTATTTGAGAAGTTCTGTTTACAAATATGAACTATCATGCAGCTAAATGTCTGCAAATATGTCTATATTTATTGTATTATATTAAAAAGAGTTCATCATTAAGTATGGTTAATTAAATTATAATTGTTTTCAATAAAAATTCTAATTGCAAAGATTCACAGTACCTACCTAGATATAAGTCACTATTGGTACAATACTTATGATCTAGTGCAGTAGCGTCATTTCAGTTTTTGAGAGGTGGAAACAAAAGTTTTGACCTGTCCATAATATAACAAAAAAAAAAAAAAAACTGCTCGCTAAAAAATTATATTAATAAAACACTCAGTTAACTCAGTGTTCTCAGTATTTTTTATTGGAGAGAGAGCCCAAGTAACAATCGCCAATGTATAAGGTTAATAAATATTGGTTTTTCATTAAAATTTAAATATTGAAAATTAAATATTGTATGGTTGAAAGATAATATTAAAAAAAAAAAAAAATTATTAATTAATAATTATTTTATAATTATAATATTAATTATTAATTTAAAATTATTTTAAATCAAAAATGTATAACTAATATTAGTCCATAATAGGTCCAAAAATCTTCCTTAAAATTTTGAAAAGAAAGTTTTAAGGAAGATTTTGGACCTATGATGGACAGAGAAATAAGAGAGTGGAAAATGAGAAAAAAATGAGGAACTGGAAAGGATGTTCCGGAAAGAAAATATATTAAGCGTAATCAGAAGCCGAAGACTTCAATGGGCTGGACATGCTATGCGAAGCCAGAACCATCTCATAAGGATGATCATGGACGAGAACCCAGTAAGCAGGAGACCACTGGAAAGGCCACGATTGTGGTGGGGAAGATGTGATAAGAAAATACATGAAAAGACTGAACGGAGGACGGGATTGGAAAACAAGAGCGGTGGATAGGGAAGGTTGGAGGATTGGATGTGTGATGGGATGGTCTTGATGGCCGGAAAACCCATGAAAAAGAATAATCAAAAATAATGCGTATTTATTTTGACAAGTATTGTGTCATATTATATCATGTAGCATTAAAAAAAGTACCTATTTATAAACAATATAATATGCGATAGCCATTAGCATTGTTGCTCCGCGCAATTTATGATTATCTTTACGGTTTCCAGATAAAGTTCTCTAAAAAAGTATGTACAATAATAAATATTGTACATAATCATTTTTATCGCTGATAAAAATGATTTTCTTGTAACGAGTGACGACAATACGTTGTCTATTGACTGTAGGTACATATTTTTACTGTACGTATACATTTGTACATGCAATTTAAAATATTTTCTTTTAACAATTCATCAGGGAATTGTTAAAGACAACAATCATAGGGTGCTGCGCATATTTTTTAGTATACATATATATCTATACATCATTTTCTTATTTGGTGAGTGTTTTTCTATTTTAAATAATTGTATAATTATTTTTATTATAAAGTAGATAAATTATTTCAGTACAATAGAAAATTAAAAATACTTACCAATGCCTAACCTGATTTCAACTTTTGAATGTACGTAACCTACGTGTGAATTCATTGACATATTATATAGGCTATTAACAAAGCGGATTCTTAATTTTCAATAAAGCAAACTTTAAAATTAATGATTTATTTTTAAAATTCTGTGTAATTATTGCATTAATTTGTATCAGACTCAAAGCTTTTTTGGTCTGTGCCAAAACGTTTTTTTGTTGTTTATTGCTATATATTTTTTTGGCCATTTCATCATTATTATTGTCTTGTAAAAATGTATTATTTTCATACACTGTTTGGTGGCGCAAATAGAAAAACATTTTAAGAAGAGTTCAGGCCACCAGCAGATTTTCTTTTAAAATAAATATACATAATTTTAATCAGGGTTGAAACGTTTAATACGGTATAGTATAAAACACGTATTATAAGTACGTATAAAACGTATAAAACATATAATATAGAACACAAAATTATATACGTTTTATACTGTATAAAAATTCATTTATAATATTTAAAGTTCAAATTAAACTTATTAAACTAACTATAAAATAAGGAAACATACATTATAAATAAACAATTGTGGTGCTATTATATATTAATAATTATCAGTATCTTATCGCAGACATATTTATAGTAAATCCATTGTACTTGGAACTTGTGATATTTATAACATTTTCAATATTTTTTTTTGTTGTTATTCGATTGAACACAAAAAATTAAAATAGGTTTCTGCCTTCTGGTATAGTATATTTTTTATATTTTATTATTACATTTCATTAGTCTGTGTCTTGTTATCGTCGCGTTCGCACGTTATTGTGTTATACACAAACACAATTTTGAATATAATTCAATATAATTTTATTATTTTGTAAGTAATTTAAAAATTCAAATAAACAAATATGACTGTTCGTCCAACACATAGTGGATGGGATGTTAATTATATACGGCACAAAGAAGAAGCAAAAGGTAAAAAACGTTAATTAGTGTATCTAATAATTACTTAAAAAATAAAATAATATAAAATCTAATATATATATATATTATTAATTCATAGGTAAACAATTAGCAAAATATTTACTTTGTTCAAAAATATTGTCCAATACGAGTAAATCACGTTTACTGATGCACCGTAATACTTGCAATACTTCAAAATTATTCAAAATAGTTACAACAGGAATTAAAAAATCTACTCATTCTACTGCTACTAAGATTATCCGTAATGAAGAACCGCCAGTATTAAAAATAATGGGTAGAGCATCTTCTCCTATCTTACCAGTAGCGTCAAGTTCAACATCTGAAACTCAAACTCAAGGTAAACGTAAACATATAAATATATTTGAATCGGATTCAGAACCAGATAATCCATTTAATAATGCAAATTCATCTACTACTATGCCTAATTTAAGTTTAAATACATCCAATGTATGCTTATCGATTCCATTAGAAGCTGACAATGATGTTCAACTCGCAAGTTCTTCACGTGAAAAACAATTAGAAATGTCTAATTCTAATGATACTATGATACTTACTCCTAAAAGTTTTACCTCAAAAAATTCTGATACATTCGTTACACTAAAAAATAAAAATAAACAGCAGGATACTATTCAACGTTACCATGATAAAATAACAAATGCTGAAATTGATTTAGTTAACTTTAAATTGGGAAAATTGTTTTTTGGATGCAATATTCCATTTTCTGTAGTCGAATCGGTACATTTTAAAGATTTTTGCCAATCATTAAGACTCGCATATAATTCACCATCACGAACTACCCTATCAACTCGCGTTTAAATGAAGTACACGATAGTTTTTGTGCAGCTATAAAATTCATTCAAATTCAGCTCTTCTAATAGATAGTTGGAAAAATGAGGCAGCTAATATAAAAAAATGTTGCTTGTTTACTGCATAGTTCTAATGGCGAAGCACTTTTCTTAGAGTCTTTTGATTTAACCGGTATTAAAGAAACTGCAATAGGACTTTCTAATATAGTGTACAAATGTATATCTTTAGCTTTAGAAAAACACAGCACTTATATTTACACAGTAATTAGTGATAATGCGGCAAATATGATAAAAATGAGTAAACTTTATGAGTATAAAATTTAATAGGAAAAGACTTATTTTTTATGTATACAAATAGTCCATACTATTAACTTGGCAACTGCAAATTTTACTTAAGAATATGAATATAAAAATATATTATATTGATATATTCTGTCTGTAGCAATATTTTTTATTATTTTCTTTTTAGATGGTACCGATTCAAAAGAGTGGAAAATGAAAACAGCAAACAAAAAGATATTTTAAATTTTTATAATTTATAATTTATATATTATACATAATTTTTAACTACCTAATATGTTTTTGGTTTTTAGTTTTTACTAAGTATAAAATAGTAAGTATTTTTAATTTTTTAAGAGTGAATTTTAAAATCAAAACATATTATACGTTTTAGTCATTTTATACGTTTTATACGCGTATATTATCAACCCTGATTTTAATAGTATTTGTATTTCTATAATTCGGTTTAAAATGCAGTACATAATTCATACATATCATAACATACATACAAAGTTTCCTTAATAAATAAATAAATAAATTATGTTCCTAATAATAATAATCATCATCACAGTTACGATATTGATGATCTTTAAAACAACATAAAAATACGCTAAAAAAGAGCACCTAGCATCTGCATATTTAACATTTATAAATCACACAATGAAAATCTATTAACTACCCGCAACACTGATTTTAGAAAACCCCACACGGATTGACTCCTTATACAAGATGGTTCATCTCCACAATTCAAGATTTATTTTGGAAATAATGTCTTAATAAACATAACATCGTCAACTAATTGCTTTATAAGTGGTCGTATTCATTGTAGTGATCTTTTAATTATGAAAGTATTAAACGTTTGTTAAAAATAATATTTACTTTCTGTTTGTTTTTGTTACTGAATCATTAAGAATTTACAGATGTACCAAAAGCTTCGACACCGGAAAAAAAAAGAAAAAATGGTTGATCTCCGTCATCATCCATAAAAAACGAAAGGTAATATTTATAATAATTATTAACTAAATGATTGGACTTGAACTTGAACTTAAATTTATTTTGACACTTAATGCAGTCGGACTTGTTTCATTATAGTCTAGAAAGACCTAATTTTACTTACGGTAAACAAATAGTTAATAAAACAAAACTAGTTAATAATACTCACAATGAAGTAATTGTACGATTGCGTACCTCAATGATTAGTATCTCCATCTGATTGCTATGACTATATGATCTGCTTTCGACCACCAGTTGTGGTTTAGCATATATTAAACTTCCATATTGTGAATGTGGTAATTCAATGATTAGATTCATTCCCGGCATTTTTGGCCTAACGCTGGCCTCATCACGGTGCGTTTCTTGGACACATAATATGTCGCCCCTCTGTGACTTATAAAGTGAAACAACTTTGGGGGACATAGTAAGAGCCTGCACGTGGCGTCCCCTGCATCGCGATATATGACTCCTTACCAGGATAAAATATTGCGAACTAATCTTACCAACACCAATGCTAGAATGCCTAGGCATTCAAAATCGAAAAGGCCCTTTTTAGGACCACCTCCGCCAGCAATTAATGTGATAACACAAAATATCGAAGGCTTTTCTGTGACTTAAATATTTATCACACTAAACGAATGGTGACCAGTCACCATTAAAAGTTACTGTGACAATGAAGTAGCTGTCACCATTGTCGCAGTGACCAAATTTAGTCACCGTTAACCATCACTACTACAATCAACTTTGTGATTTGTGTTACTAGTAAATTCGTTGATTTTCCGTTATCATTTGTTATTTTTAAACTAATCCCAAAATAAATATAAGCCCATGACTTGACAATATGATTTTTTTAAATTATTACACCAGCTGCATATTACATAATGCATATACATGAAATTGAAATAATAAATATACAAAAGGAAAATTGATTTTTTGATAATCGATATATAGTTCAATACATTTAGAATATAGATATCGAAATTTCCATGAAAAAGTTCGCGATAACGATATCGTTGAAGAATTCTAATAAACATATTACCTTCAAGTTGAGAATTTAAATAAATAATCATTCTTTAAAACAGATATCCATGAATTTTATTAGTATATGAAAAATTATATTGACAACCAGTGCTCGAATTGGGAAAAATTTAATAGAGGAGCTCAGTCCATCGATTCGAAAACTGCGTTCCACGTGCGCAAATATTTTCGCTTCGTCCCTCACCACTACCCTCCGCCAACCTTACATATATTTTGAATACCACATTTCAGCTAAACAAATATTTTAATTCCAAATATAATATATTTTGATAGCAATACCATGTTGGCATCCTACATGTTACAATAGAAAATATAAATAAAATAATAATTAACATAATTGTAGGCGATAAGGCAGTTTCATGAATCGAATGATATAATCATATATTTGATTTTTTTTTATCTAGTTTTACTCTTTATTGCAGGCCAAGGCCGAAGATTAGTTGTAGTGCGGTCATTTATTTTTTTCCGAAATGCAGATATCGTCGTTCGCTAATATTAATAACAAACCGTACAATGTATAAAGTATAATACACCAAATTCACTGACATTGCTATTTATATTTTTCCAGAAATGACGTCGTAGTCCCTTATCGTAATCACCATATAATCTTTAATTATGAAAATAGTTTTGATATAATAAAATCGTAAAATTCGTTTTTAAATTTACGTAAATTGAAATTCACATAAAAATTATTTTGGACATCAATTAGGATGAACGTGGCGTCCCCTCGTTCCGGTGAAAAAATATAATTGGGGTACGCAAAAAAAAAAAAAATAGTAGAGGAACTCCGTCCCCCTGCGCACCCCCCAATTCGAGCACTGTTGACAATTTGAATCTATGATTTAAGTTATCAATGATGTTTTTATCTTAAATTATATTTTGATCTAAATAACTCTGATAATTCTGAACTACCCCAGTCTTAAAACAATACTTTGTGCCTTAAATCTATAGGTTTGTTACAGAATTAATATCCATTAACATTTTTGTTAAAAATTAATAACTTCCTTAACATAATAATGTTTTTTCAACAATTAATACAAAATAAATTATTGGGTTATTGTTATCAAGGCTGGTAAAAGGATAGGGCAAGGGTGGCTAAAGCCCTAGGACCGGTTGTCTCAGCCTTTTTTAAAACATATATAATCTCATTCCCTGTAGCATAAGATGTAAATTTGAATTTATTGTTTTTTGTACTTAGTATGTACAAGTAAAATGTATATCTAGCCAAACATGTGTAATTAAAGAATGCCTGGAACTGAATAGCCCCAAGGCCCTCAAAAGTTTTTGTTGACTTTGGTTGTTATAGTTGTTCTAAAAAAATAATGACTACTATCTTTTTATTTTATCTAATATTTATAATGTATTGTTATTTTTTATATCTTTATTGTTATATTAAAAGTAAAGCTAAATATATTTAAAAACTTTAAATTTATAGATATAAAATAGCTTTTTTTGTTGATATTATCTATTTATATATTTTCTAAATGATTCTATTGATTCTTGTTTTAATTTTCTATTACAAAAAAATACTGAAGGAATAGTTTTACAAGCAAGTTATCTTACAGAAAACAATTATTGAAAATAAAGCAACATTTATCTATTCATAACTAAGACATTGTATTTTGTAATATGTACATACTTTTAAAATAACATTGTTTTTCTTTAAACTCTAATAAATATTAATTAATTTTTTTTTACTAATTCTTCAATTTTCTTGAATACATTGTCTGCAGATTGATCAGCAAGTTGTACACTTCGTTCTCGTCCAAATTCTGAAAAAATTTTAAAATACATCACTACAAATATTTTATACAATTTTATAATAATATCTCAATTAAGACTATTTAAAAATAACTAATTAGTATTTACTTTGAATAAAATATTCTTGAGTTAATTAAAATAAGTAAATTACATTTACTATTATAATTTAATATTATTTTTAGTCAGCAAGAAACAACATAATTAAGAAATAAAATTAGTTTACTACATAGTTGACCTTTAATTATCCTTCTTACAATTCACATATATTATAAATAATTAATATTTACCATAGCGAGCAAAAACTTTTGGTTCTACTCCACTGCACTCACGGACTAATATGGGAAACTGTGGATTCGATTTTTTCAGTGGAATATAGTATTTTTCAATGAATTGCCTGTAAATATGTTGGCGTTTTGATTAAAAGTACCAATATTTTGATGCATCATTAAAACACTAACCTTACTCCTTTGCTAGAGGTGGACGACTGACATAGGTGCAATCGTAGTTCTTTTAGATGACTACCGAATTTGATTGCAGACATGATTTGAAATAATTTAAATAAAATGTCAAAAATAGTTTTCTGAGAGCAAACCTCAAAATATGAGTCCAAGATAAATTGTAAAATGATAAGACTTATCAGTAATAAATACTATTGGTTATCTGTTATGTCGTTCAGATAGATAAGTACCACGGTTTAAGATAGAAAGGTTGCACATCGGGGTATACTATGCAATGTTAGACTGCGGTGTACACAGATATAGATAACAATTGCTAACTAGTATAAAGGTATAGTATAAAGTCATAGAGTAAAGAATGTATAAAGTTGACAAGCAACCCTGGAAACGCCTATTTCGCGCTATGTTACTTGTGGGCTATGGTATTTTATCAATTCTTATCGTTGTGATAAGACCACAGATAAAAACATAAAAATAAACATTATCAGAACTCTTATTTCTCAATTAGTTAAAAATAATAATTTGTTTATGTATGAAGCATAAGCGCAAATCACCCAAAAACATTAGGGGGGCTTAAGCATCTACAATTTTTGAGGAAACAGACCAAACTCGTGAGGGGCTTTGCTCCTCACACACTCCAATAGTACTATACCATATATCAGTGGTGGCCAAACTACGGCCCGCGGGCCAACTGCGGCCCGCCATCATTTAATATCTGGCCCGCGAAAGTCTTCTATATTACAGTACTTATTTGTATAACTGTAATATTTTGCATTTACGTAAAAAAAAATTTAGAATTCAATTGTTTTATGGTCCGCGATTAAAAAAAAGTTGTTTTTTATGGCCCGAGGAAAAAAAAGTTTGGCCACCACTGCCATATATTATATAAATAAAAATATAAAATACAAATCAAACAAATACAACAAAACATTTTATATAAAAGATATATATATTTTTTTTATTATTTATAGACTTAGCCTAATACTGATTGAAGGAACATACCTCAAGTTCCTTGTCTGTATTCCACGTTTTTTTGTTGAAATATAAAAATAACGTATTCATTTTTTTTTTTTTTTTTTAATGTATATATTTATGTTTATTTAATTTATACAAATATTGTGTACACTGTACAATAATAATATAATTATAATTTTTATAGCAAAAAAAAAATAAAACACTAAATGTGAACAACGAATAATTGAACAATCTCGAACTAATAGCGTAGACTCGTGGTTGGGTAATGCCCAATGATTAGAACCGTTCTAGTATTATGATTTATAATACCCAATAATAAAAACTATTTATTATTTATAATTAGGGTCCGGATTTTTATGCATTTACATATTTGTAATGAGTGTATGCAGTTCAACGGGAGTAAGAAATGTGAACGATTTGTGTAGCAGAGAATCTATAGAAAAAAGTTTATTTTGCATATAAATGCATATTTTAAGGTTGAGAGCATATTTGAAGAATTCGGCATAATAAAGCATATTTTGGTACATAATAGTTATTTTATTTATATTTCACTATAGAAACTAGATTTATGAGTTTATGAAGTATTGTGGGGAAATATTTAATTTGTATTAAAACCATATCTTGCTTATCGAAACACATCGATCGACAACAATGAAGACCAGTTATATATAAATTTCCTTCATACAATTATATTTTTAGCATGATTATTATTATCGTGATTTTAAGTCTTATATTGGATAAACACGCTGCATCGTGGCTCTTGTTTTACATTTAGTTGGTATTTAATCGTCACGCGTCGTACTGTAGTCGCCAGTCGGTAATCGCCTATAAATATAATTTCGTAATCCGCATTCCGTATATAAACAAATTTCTTTAATAATTTTTTTTACACTCGTAAATTTTAAAATGCCGAAAAGTCGTAGTAATATTTAAATTTTAATAAAACAATGGATTGCATTGTATAATAAAACAGACCACACAATTTTTACTACGGACGGTTCTGTAGTGTTTTGTCAATTGTGTGACAAAAAAATCGTTTGCACCAAAAAATTTCAAATACAACAACACGTTGATACTGCTTTGCATAAAAGTGCTTTAAATCGTAAAGCAAATGATAACAAAAAACAATTATTTGTATTGGACGCAAAACCGTCATTTTTGACGAAAAATGCAAAAAATGCAAAATAAAAATGGTTCCATTGAACTATACATAACATAAATCACATTTATGTACGACAAGCTTCATATAAACGCATTAGAAAAAAAGATGCAAATGCATCAAGTTCCGGGCCCTAGTGATAACCGATAATACAAGCAAAAAGTTCTCAAACAATATTTATATATCATTTTTATTTTCGTCTACTGAAAAGGTATTATAGTTCTATAAATGGAATTTTATATGTAACAAATTTATATGAAATTCCTTTTCTTTTTGTCTCATATTGCATACTTAAAACAGCTTATATTATAATTATAGTTTAATTTATTTATAATGTTAGTAAAGTATTTATACTTTTTACGGCTTTAGCTGGTCTGATTCGACTCGTATATTTGGCTTACTTGCCGATTATTCGATCATCGTGTATATTATTATTTATCATCGCCTTTGCTCCTACACAACTTAGCTACTCAGGCAAAAACAGGTGCGGAATGCGACATATAATAATATTAGACTTATTATTTAAACTTAAATATATATGTTATACATATTATGAGGCGACACCAGTGACAAACTAACAAGCAACAGCAATAGTGATGGATATTATTATTATTATTTATTAGAAACATTTATATGTTATATTATTATTATCCAACGTGAAGAGTATGGACTGCCGCCGATGCGGCGCCGCGGTCACGCTGTTATTTATCAATAAACCGATAGAAGGCACGATTATAAAGAAATAATCGTGATGGTAGATAATAATAATTAGAGTACGGCCGTTTGCACACAGTCCGATAAAATCGGACGATATTATCGGTGATTGTGTCGGATACATCAATAATACGTTATTTTAAATCAATCGTTTACACACTAGTTCCGATCCGATAAAATATCTATTTTTAATTAACCGATATCGTTGTGCATGTCGGACAAACGACCAAAATCGAACGATACTTTATCGGTCCGGTTTTAATGATTACTAAAAATAAATGGTTCGTTTGCACACTCGTCGATATTGTCGGAATAATGAAATAAAATGTAGTTTTAATTCCTCGCATGTATCTAATAGGAACTTTCAATATTTAAGTATTTTAAATTTTGAAAAATGAGTTACTTTCCCTACGACGTGCCAACTCTAATTGAATTAGTAGAATCAAGACCATGTCTTTGGGATAAAACAACAAATGAATATAAAGACAGAAATCTTAAAAAAAACAATGGGAAGAAGTGTACATGTTTCTTGAAAACAAATTTGAAGATAAAACGCCTAAAGAACAACTAGAAATTGGTAATATTATTTTCAGTTATTTTCTTAGCTTTAATATTATTAAAAATATGTTTATTGAATGTTAATATAAATGTTTTAAGAATGTTCCTTCTATTATATTTTGTTCATTTGTCATGGTAGTCCTCCAGCTGGACTCGTAAAATATTCGCCAATTGGTCACGTGCATGATTTGCACTTCTGCCTCCTCTATTATGAACTGGTACATGTTGCAATTCTATAAGCCCCTGATTTTCGCTGATAGTGAGCTCTTCTTCTAAATAAAATCCAACATGTTGACGAACAATGTTGTGTAAAACTACACACGCCTTAACAATATCTTTTGCAAACTTTTTAGAAACATTCATTTTTAGAAACAATCTGTGCATAATCCTCCATTTATTTGTTAATATGCCGAATGCACATTCTTCGTACCTCCTCGCTCGAGTCAAGCGATAGTTAAATACACGTTTTTCAACGCTAAGATTATTTCCTCCGTAAGGCCGAAGTAAATTTTCAGACAACGCGAATGCTTCATCACCTACTAGCGCGTATAGTAAAATATCATTAGTGATTATCGGTTCAGGATCTGGTATATTCAACTTTTTTTTGTTCTAAAAGTTTCCAAAAAATAGTTTCTTTAAATATCGAAGTGTCACAGTCTTTACCAAAAGCTCCGATATCGACGTATATAAACTTATAATTTGAATCAACAATTGAAGGCAATTTGAAGGCACAAATTAAACAAGTTATGATTTTTTATTTTATTTTGATTTTTTTTTAAATTAGAAGGACTAATTTTTTTTTTTTATTTAGTTTATAATAGATTTTAGATTTTGTAATTAAATTAATTAAGTAGTTTGAAATAATACATACATTACGAAGTTTGAATTAAAAAAATGTATAATTTGTATGGTAATTTATTTAAATTAATATTCAAATGTCTTAAGTGATATTTTATATTTACCTAAGTGTTACAGCCAACATCTCTTTTGGTGGAACGCATAATCGCATTTGGGTATCATTTCGGCGGATAACATCAGATATTTTGTCTAGTATTAAGGTAAAAGTAGAAAAGCTCATGCGGAAATAATTAAAATATTTTGTTCATCATCAATTAGTTTTTGAAATAGTGTATAAAAAGTACCTTCAACATATCTTGCTGTTAAAATAGGGTGCACCCAAAAAGTCCTCTTGCGTTTTTTTGCTAATAATTCACATTTTTGTTTAATGTGTAATACCGCTAAGAGGGCGATTTTCTTTTTAGAATTCATTTTAAATTATTAAACACTAGAAATGGTAAGAAATGTCTGACAGATACAAGCCTAATAACCGTAATAATATGATTTTTATTCTTTTATCGGACCGATAATTTTGACTAATGTGCAAAATATATCCGATATTATTATCGTTACCGATTTTATCGTCCGATATTATCGGACTGTGTGCAAACAGCCTACCGGTTGCATATTAACAAATGCGTACCGGTTTGCGCGATTTTTATTACTAGCAACGCGCTCCGACGGAATTTTCTTATAATTCACTAGGATATTCCCTCTTAAGAGTGTTGGATATAATTTATTTTTAGACACAGATATTGATAATAGCATTGATTATAAATTGTATTAGTATTAATTTATAGTTAATTTATATTAATTATTATTATTATATTATATATTATTATTATTATTATTATTTTTATATTAATTTATAATTAATAGTAATAGTATTATTTATAATCAATGATAATAGTTTTAGTTTATATCTGTGTTTTTAGATCATATTTACACCATATTTGTTTTTTTTTTTTGTACAAGTTACTTTCTAATATTGTTTATTATTAATTAATAACTATAAATAATTTTCATTTATAATTATAAAAAACCTTATTTTTTAAACAAGCATATTTAAATTTCATTTTAATTAATGATATTATATATAATTAATACTTGTTATTTAATTTATTTTGCACTATAGGTGATAGTCGTCGCCCCAGTTTAAGACTGTAATAACTCAAAAAAAACTTTTATTGAGGTATCGATGCTTTAGTTCAAGACAGCAATTACTCAAAAATATTGAGAATTGAGTTATTTACGTGATATTATTTGCAAAGTTACGACGATTTCGATTCTATAACGAATAACTTTTATTTGCATTATTCGCCTCTAGAGGTCTTTTATTTCATTCTAAAACTAGTAGTTTCATAATTTCAGTTATTGCAGTCTTGAATTGAGGTGTCGATATGTATGATTTGATTTGAAATACCCGCCAAATAATAAATATATTTGGTATCACATTAAACATGTTATGATAACACTACAGAGCCCACAAACAACATGTTCTTTTTTTATTAATTCCATTGATATAATTAATTTCTTATTAAATAGATTAAACATTGTACGCCGACAGGTTACATATGTGTATTTCATATAGTGCCTAGTGTAAAGAACATCATACGAAACCCTAAGTATTGAAAAAATGTAATTTGTTTTGTTTTGATAAAATAGTGTGATAATAATATGCACCACTAGTGTCGGGCATTACACCTGTCTATCACCTAAATTTCGAACATATCTATTTATACAGCCACTCATGATTTGTGTATTGTCTGTGTACATTGGGAAATATCTGGTCAATGAGAGCATCTTGCGAATCAATGATTGTGCAGAAATTGTTCGGTAATTGTATGCATCCCGTTTCATCTGTAGTAACTTTCCCATCACCAATATCTAATAATTATTTTGAGAACTTTCCGCACGCAGCATTTTTTGATTGAATCGCAAGTATCGTAATTGTTCGCTTTCTATTTTTACATACATGTCGACCATGAATTGTTGACCAATCTCACGAAATTTTCGAAAGAAAGTTCATGGGGAGAAGATTAAGAGGACGCCCTAGAATTTCCTACTTCCAAGATCTGATGCTGTTGATGAACATAAGCTCATACTCACAGCTAAAGAACTTAGCAACCAACAGGAAGACATAGCTATCACAACAAGGCGCTGCCTTTAGATTAAAAAAAAAAAAAAATAGCATGACAATATGGAACGTTTTATAACGTTCTATTCAACTTTATAACATCAATAATCTTGTTACTACGACTTCTCGATAGTCGATTATATAATACTTATTTTTTGTGGTATCACAATATGAAATAAAAGTTTAACAAACAGTTTAATTTGTAATTTAAATATTTTACTCATAAACCTAACTTAATCTTACTTTCTTATCTCTACCAAACACCTGCAGAAAATGCTTATTTTTTCCAAATTCACAACCCCCCCCCACCCGAAAAACCAATCCTGGTTGTGCCTCTGTGGGCAGTTATAATGATGAATGCAGTTCTAGCAGCAGCAGTTTTCAGGTCCATTTAAGTATTAATTTACTTCCTTTAACTTTAACTTGTTAACTAATAAACAACAACTTTTATTAACTCCCCAACAGATGGATGTGGACTCATAAATATTATTTCGGTTTTGATGTGCCACACTGTTGACAACATGTATCCAAGCACACGTATCTGTATCCAACAAATTTGTTGCCAACACTTGGTCTGTAAATATGGACCCTCTATTGAACATTATTCTGAAGTTAAATCAGCTATTAAATTAGTGAAATATAATTAAGTATTAGTACATAAAAATCTGCAATGTTTTTGTACTCAATTTGCAGCCATTCTGAGGTATTAACAATAATACATACTTGATAGGAACGGCGTAGAAAAATGGAACAACTATAAAATGAAAAATTTAAGTATTTCATTTTTGCCATAAATTTAGAAGCACATAATTAAAAGTTATACTTCAATTTTATCACATATTTTACATACACAAATAATAACTGGTATCATTATTTTCATTAAGTGAAAACTAGACAACTACAGAATATTAAAATTATACCCAGAAATCAGAATTACATTTTTTTTACTCTCAAAATAATTTTTAAATTTAATACTAATAGTTCCTATGACATCCAATTGAAGAATTACCTTATAGTATTTCCAAGTGGCAGATCAAACATTAATTAAAAAAAAATTACCAACAAAAAGTAAAAATTAAATATTATCTCGGATTAGGTATGTAAAATAATCATAAGCTTAATATCTTTTAGTTATTTTTCACATTAATAGAATATTTTAAAATAAAACAATGAGTTCATTTTAGTAATTAAATCTAAATATTTTTGTATCAGTCTAATATTATTTTTTTATAATTAGATTTATTTCATATTTTAAGTAAAAATACTTTGGAATTAAAGTTAATGGCAGATGTATGACAAGGCTTTGGATTAGAAATTCTTGCGGAAGTAGTATAGAATTAAATTTATTTGATTAGTATATGTTTTGATCAATCAAACTATTGAAAAATATCAAATTAAATACTTAAATGTCCTTGTATTTATATAAATTGTAAAAATATACAGGCATAAAAAATGCATAGCTTAATTATACATACTTGACACAATTTTATGATCAATACAAAAATAGTCATTAGGTATTTCTTAATTATTACATTCATATTTTCCAATTTTAATTACATTATATATTAGAACTAACTTAAATTTGACGGTAAAATATTATTATAATATTGTTATGATGACAGGACATTTAAATTTACAAAATATAACAATATTAACACAAAAATCATAATCAATAATGAAATATTAAATATAAAAAAAACCTTATTTTATAATTTTAATAAATATTTAATTTATATAATACATTTAATACTGTTTTTTTTTGAAATCTTGAAAATACATTAATTAGAAAGAGCTAAATTATCAAATTATTATATACTTTTAAGGTAGTAAATCATCTGTGAATATATAGAATCAGCCATAAAACGATAATTTAACATTTTTCAATTTTGAGCGGTAAAAAATGGTATATAGGATACAAAACTTGTCATTTAAATAAAGACAAGCCCTCTCTAGAATGCACAATATAAAGAAAAATAAAAGCTTTTGTATCAATCAAGTTTTCCTAGATAATAACCAATGTGATCTTGATCTTTGGGTTCTACTACTGCTTACAGTTGAGGATGATGATGATGATGAATTTGAACGTAGATTATGAGAAACAGAACCAGTTGATAAACATGAGCTTAAACTAGAAGTAGACACTTGGCCTCCATTTAAAAACATGTCCATTACACAAGGCCTGTGGTTGTTCTTATCAAATGGTTCTAAAGATAAAAAATTAGAATATTTTATCAAATAAGTATTTATATTAAACTACATTTATAAAATTAAGAAATAACTTAAGAATAATTTAATTTTAAAGTAATAAATCCTATTTTGAATATATTAAAACTAAAAATATTTAATATAAAACAATATATTTTGTCTATTATTCTAAATAGCTTGTCTTGGAAATAAAAACAAAAATATTAAAAATGTATGTTATTATTGAGAAAGGATTATGGTTATAGATATAATATTATATAATGATATGTTTACTATTTGCCACTATAATATTATATTATATTATAAATAATGTATACATTATAGATACACTGAATTAACTAAGCATTAATATAGAATTATGAGTAATGTTAATCAGGGTTAAATTTCAGTAGAAAAATCATACATTTTGTGAGGAGCTCTGAGCTACTACAATTTCAACCACTTAATTATAAATACAGAAAACCATAAGTTAAATATTTCTTATTTCTAATTTTTTCTCTTAGTTAATTCTTACCAAACAGTGGAGTTTCATCATAAAGAGACCCTTGCCTTTCAGGCTTAATAAACGAATGCCTGTTTGTTTCCAATAACTGCACTTCCATGACATTTTCAGCTGCTTTCTTCCACCTTAAAAATATACTAAGGTTAGAGATTACATAAGAGGTTATAATTTATAAATCTGATATACTTGTTGTGTTCTTTAGTATGTTGTACTAAATATTTCAACCAATTTCCTTTTTTTTCACCGTTATCTACTGAAAATGTAAGTGAAACAGTTCGTTTTTCCGATTCATTAGATAATTCAATTTCATTATTTTTCTTTATTGCTCGAATTACTGTGTTCTAAATAGAATATCAATTAATATTAGTTACTTTATTTTTAATCCAATTATAATTCATATTTTACCTTATCAACTTTAAATGTTTTTTTAGGTGGTTGTAAATTGGCTTCTTCTTCTGATGACCATATAGATAGTTCAAATGCTTGAAGACTTGCCCATGAGGGGGATAACTCATCTCGTAACTTAACATATCCTGAATATACTGGAGATGATATACATTGGGGTTGAGCAGCCAAACGACAGCAAAAATGTCCAAATAAAGGAAGCTGATTATTACGGTTTCCTATATTTATATATATATAAAAAATATTGATTATTATTTTTTAAAATACACACTACATTTTTATACCACAGACTGTATTAAATATATATTATGTAATATACTCACGAGTGCTTTCAATTTTCATATCATGAGTATGTACTCTATCATCCACTTCTTCTAAGGTTAATTTAGCTGATGCCATTAATTCAAAATTAGGACCACTAAAAATGTATAATACCGTTTATATTATTAAGTTTCACATAATGCAATTTTATAATCACTTTTAATCTTAATTTTTTTAATTTTACTAGACTTCATAACTTACATTTTACTACTATTTAATTCATCTCTTAATGTAGCAGCTAATTTTTTACCAACTGTACGACTAATAGAACTATGTAATGTGTTCTTAATTTTTCGTGGTGTGCTTGCTATTGAAAAATCATCACGTAGTACATGAGCGTACACTTCTAAATCAAGTTTAAAGTCTGGCCCAATATTTTCACTACAAATAAAACAAAGATTCAACATTATTATTTATTACATCACTTATAAATGTATACATTTTCATTACTTACAAAAGCAATACATCATTAAATGTAACATCAGTCATAGATCTATCCACTGGAAACATAAGACTGGTATCATACAGTTGCGTTCCAATTTTGGCCAAGCAGAATACTGCAAATCGTCGGTAGTCGCCTTTATTTTTGAAATGGTCGGTGTCCCGCCACATCAATGGAAGTCGTAAATCTGATAATGATACTCGTGCTTTACCGCCATTCCAGCCAATTCTAAAATAAATAAGACATTTGTGTTTACAATATCAAAAGAATTTATTAATTTATGAATATTAATTTACAGTGGAGGCTCTCGACTCTTTCTATGTAATTCAGCAATATATGCAGTCATCCTCTCATTGGATGTCAATAAACTTTTGGCGGCCTGTAGTGATTGCGTTTGATGTTTGCAGGCGGCAAGAAGTCGAGTTGTGCCCTCACGCATTTTCATTTCAAACTCTATTTTTTGTTCTAATTCATAATCCTATAAAAATTAACGTAACATTTTTACTGTATGCATAATAAATAAAACGTATTCTTATTTCTTATCCATATAACAAAACGCCAATGAGTAGATAATTAATCGCTTAAAAAGAGAGGGTCATAAAAAATCTCAAACATTAGTGATTAGTTTTTAAAAAAAGAGCTATTAAAGTAGTAACTCAAAAGATTTATGTCAAAATTTTATTATAGGTGGTATGGGTATGTATATTAATAGTAACTTTGTAGTATATTAGTTTTAACTTATTGAAAACAAGTATCGAGTTACAAAAAATCAATATCTCACCCTTCAGGTTAAACTATAAAAATAAAATATAAACTATACTTTAATGAATTGTACTATGATATTTGAAAGCATAAATAAGTAAATAGAAGATGAATAAAAAAAAATAGAAATATTTTAACTGTTCGTAATGAGAGGGAGAGAGGTGTATCAGGAACATTAGGAAACACACATTCACGATATATATTTAAATGTAGTCATGCAGGTATTGATGTTGAGTGGTCCAACATAGCGTTGGTAAGTGGAAAAGTCTATTGCTAAAGGTCAAAAGACAATGGACAAATGGCCGGAGTCAAATCCAATTGTATTTTTATACACATAAAATAAAAAGGTCAAAGTAGGATGTTAGCTATTAACGCTAAAGCTATTTCAATATAATTTAAATTCATATCTAATGGACATGTACTAGCCACTAAGTATATACAAAAACTAATACTGAAATACTTATGATTGCAGTTAAACATTTTCGTAAACGTTTACATTACAACTTGAAAAAATGTGTTTATTAGACAGTAAATATGTTTTTAAATGCTCTAGGTAATTATAGTATTTATTTTTTTATTTTTTTTTATTTTACTTTTAAAATAACTATTCAACTAAAGAATTACATAAATATATAGACATAAATAGGTTACATGATATAGGACATAATAATAAAAGATAATAACATCTATATAATAATAATAAGTGCATGAAGTCACATAGAACGGCTGGGGTTCTCGATTGTACGCAGTTGATTTGGTTGGCTGAGGGTAAAAGGAAAAGTGTTTTTAATTCCTTGTTTACTAAATTTAGTGGTGAGTTTTTTATTGACTTGATTAGCAGCGGTTCTAAACATTCTATGACCGTAGAATATTAAAGGAATAATTTGTGTTTCGTGAAACCCCATTGTCTCGGACTCCTTTTTAACCCCAATTTTGCAATTATTTATTGAAAAACTATACTTCAAAATTTTTTTAAAGATTATTTATGATTATTATTCTTTATTACAAGTACAACTTTTAATATTCATATAAATCTTACGTAACCCATAGGTTCCGCGAAACACACTTTGGAAATCGTTGCTTTATAGGATGCTGTATGATTCCAGCACTAAGAGCGCACTCGGCTGGTAAAGTGTGATCTTTGGAACTTAAATCTAAGGAGGGTTTTTCGTTACATTAGATATAACCATAGTTATAGTAGCAGTGTTTATATGTATATCCATACGATTGACAGTTGTAACATTACGGTGGGCTGATGTAAAGTTTTTTAATGATCACATACGTATTTAGTAATGATTATAGATATCGTTGGTGTTATTTTGAAATACAAGATCTACAAAAATAACGGAAGGGAAAAATGGTTTTTTTTTGACAATATGTACATACTTTTTTTAATGATTTTTTCCGAACAGGGCCGCAGTAATTTGAGTACTTACAGTAGAATAATGTAGATTTATGAACAAAATATTATGTGGACAAAAGCACTGAAGTAGAAAATAATAGAAATTGGTATCTTTTGCCATTTTCTTTTAAGTAAGCCAAAATTGTGTTATAATTAATAACACCGGTGGGTCGCATAATAATATATGAAGGTGAAGACTTAAAATCTCCGAAAACTCCGTTTGGAGTTGTGATCTTTGTTGGTGTGTCATTGAAGACGGAGAAATTAGAAATAAAGGTGATATAAATAACCGTTGTTTTAGACTTGACTTTGTGTTCGATACTAGTCATATTACCTAGTTCATCAGTTAAGATGATTGGTGGCGAAAAAAAAACATATTAATTAAAGTCTTTAGAAGTGAGAAGGGTAAATCAGTTTGGGGGTCATTCTTACCAGGTGAATTGACGAGTTGGAATGGATACGTTTGAATAGTATTGGCGTACGAGGGAAACCGAAACTGGTTTCCTGGCTCATAATTACAGAAATAATGACACCGAGCCCGTATTTAAAAGTATAATTGCGAAATAAAAGCGATAGCGAAGAGAAAATTCAATAAACGTGTGCATACGTAGGACGTTTGTAACGAAATGGAGTAATTAGAACCGATATTATAAACTTGCATAATCATAAATGTGTCAATTTTTCATTAGCTTATTTCAATAAAACAAGTATAAGATGTGTCTTGAATTATATTAATATAAATAGTCTGGCTCAGTTATTATATCTATTATTTATAGATTCAGCTTTGAGCATCGTCAAAACTAAAAATGAACACTCGGATAACATAAAAGACATATAACATGTACACTATTATATCGTACAATTTTACTAAGTGACAATTTATATTATAAAAATACGAGTGAGATCATTATTCTATTATATAAAGTTACTCGGATCCCGAAATACTATATTTTTAATAATTAATAATTAAGTATAATATTTATTTCTAATAGTTATAATTTGTAAATTACAATTAAATTATAACTGATATACCTATACGTATAATTTTATATACTTATATTAAATATATAAAAATTCGAGAAATTTAAATACTTAGGATCATTTGTACAAAAGGACGGGTGTTTTGGCATATATGTAAAGCATAGGATTAAAAATGGTTGGATGAAATGGTGAAAAGCGTCGGGCATTTTATGCGATAAGAGAATTCCAATGAGGCTGAAAAGTAAATTTTACAGGAGTGTAGTGAGACCAACTATGCTATATAGCTTAGAATGCTGGGCGGTTGGCAGAAAAATAGAACTGAGTATGAATGTTGCGAAAATGAGAATGCTTAGATAGATAAGTGGAGTGAAAAGAGAAGATAGAATAAGGAAAAAATATGTGAGAGGTAGTATTGGTGTAACATCTATAGTGGATAAGATGAGAGAAAATATACTGAGATGGTTTGGGCATGTGATGAGACGAGAGGAAACAAATGTAGTAAGAATTGTTATGAAAATGGACTTTGAGACGTTAAGAGGAAAACCAAAAAAGAAATGGTTAGATATAATTGAAAATTATATGAGGGCCGTTGGTGTGTGTGTAGGGGCTGTAGAAAATCGAGATGAAAGGAAGTTAAGACAAGGGTGGCTAACCCCAAAATAGATGGGAAGAAGGCGAAGGAGAAAAAGATATGTATTTATATTATTATGATTATATGTGTAATTATAATGGTACACAAATGTTCATCATAACTGTATAATTTATACTATAATATATAATATAGAAACACGGGAAAATACAATTGAAAATATTAAGGTTTAAATGTAATTATATTCTCAATTATAAGTAATACAAATTAATTTCTAAGACTAAGTTGAATCGCACGTTCATTTATTTGCAAAAAATATCAAAACTGAAAAATATAAAAAGATGTTCTTTAAATTATACCCTTCAGATCAAAAGGAACATCCTGTAAAGGTAGGGTGGTCCAAAAATAAAGAGAATATATGGGTACAGGAAATAAAAGCGCCGACGCCAATATCCTGTACTGCCGAGGCACGTGTCTATATAATAACGTCTGTGGGCTCATTGTATAATCCGTATAGTGACGATTAAAACTCAAAACACGTGTGTTACATCTCTACTTTCAAAAAAAAAAAAAAAAAAATGGTAGGGCGATATTAATAATGTGAAATATATTTCATTGTGGAACAAAAAAATAATACCCGTAAAATATTCAAAATTATTTATTTATATATATATATAGATATTCATGTTTTTCATAACAATAACTTCAGACAAAATACGCTACTAAAGCAATACATTATTAAAAATAATTGATAATATTGTTTTTTACCATCATATATAAACGACACCAAAAAAATAATTTATTCATTGCGAATTTCATCTGTTAATCAGATTCTTTTTTTTTTTTAAAAAAACCGCATGCGTTAAAGACAACATTGAAATTTTAATTTTAGGTATTCATATTTAATAAATTTTAAATTTTTTTTTTTAAAAAAAAAACAATAATAATATCATCATATATATATAATCACTTATAAATATTTTATTAAATTTCATAATAACTTTCAAATTTAATATCCACTACTTTAATAATCTACTTTTCCGTACATCACACAGTATTTTGGTATGGAGCAAGTTTTTTGTTTAAATATTGTGGTTATACTAAAGATATCAAATATTTTATACATAACATTATAAATAAAGTTATTTTATTTTACATGCGTAAATATAGATATTTTAATTGCTAATATTATTATAAATTATAATAATATTTAAAAAATTTAGGTTTTTCAAAAAAACCTTAATAACTAAAATAATTCGCATACATTTAAAATCAAGTATTTGTAATACTATATGTGTATATAAGGAAATAACAAATCATTTTCTTAAAACACAGTAGTAACGGATAATTAATTTATTAAAGATAATAAACTTATAAGAATTATAACTATTGCAATAATTTGATTTTTAGTACTTAAATTTCAATAATTGGATTTCTGAAAGATTATTAAGTTGAACTATTTTTAAAAGCGCATAAAAAATATAATACTTTTTTTCTGCAATAATAACAAATAGATGTAGAAAATATCAATTTAAGTATTAGCCTGTTAAAAAATGACATACATACGAGTTATTAGTTATAAATGGCAGTATATAATTATATAAATTATATAAAAACCGGTAAATTAAACAAATACTATCAATCATTAACTTAAATATATAGATAATAACAACAAAAATAGTACAATCTAAGTTACGTATCATGCACAACCACACGGTTGTAAGAAGTCTTTTCCTATAAGCGA